CTGGTCCAGAACAACTGCCGGAACCGCGCAAGCAAGTATAGTGTTGATGAAACAGTGCCGAAAACACGTAACATCGGATCAAGCAGTTCTTACAGCATCTGGGAGCGTGGCTCCCTTTCACAGTGGGCAGGGCAAGCCTTGACACGGGGGGGAGGTCGGTGTGGACTGTCTATTGTGGAGTAAGGGGCTCCAGAAGTTTAAGAGTAGGTTTCAGGTGGCCGGATCTCGCTGTGCTTTTCGGGCTTAGGGTGCCGGGTCCTTGGGAAATTGCCGTGTGGGCCGTCCGTTGGGCCCACTTAAGCTTCACGGTTCTTGGCCATCTACGGGTCTTTCCGGTTCACTGCTCTAGTGTACGAGTGTCAGATTGCATGGGATCGCAATGTCCCGACGCCAAGCGAAACCAACTCTCCAGGCCTGAAAGATGGTCCGTGAGGCCTAAAGCTGGACGCTGGACACTACGACCCTCAACTTCTTCCGAAATCCTGAAACGAAACCCTCAGCCCTAAACCCTAAATCAAAAATCCCAGACTCTAAACCCTAGGACTCTAAACCATCGGTGTGCACTCAACGAGTCTGACCATCCTCTCAAAAAAGGACTCTAAGCCCTAAGCACCAAAGCTTCAGACAAACCGACTTCCCTGGGCTGGGTTCCCCCACGACGCGCGCCATGGTGCCCTGGGAAACTGCGCCGAGCTTTAACGACTGCAGCTTTATTGTTTTGAGGCTATGACGGTTTTGAGGGCTTAGGGTTCAGAGGGTTTGGGAGTTCAGGGATTTCTATTTCGAAAGTTTGTTGCTGCACCTGGAGGAAGTAATTAAAGCAACTACAGCCATTCAATTACTTGAATCAAAACCCTGGTAACCTCTTCCTCTGGTCAAAACCGTTGTAAGCCTTGTAACCGTAGTTCAGGCACTTCTTAATCTTCTTATATCTAACCCGTCGGGTGTGAAAGCAAAAGGCCGGGAAACCTGCAAGCTGTTAGTAAGAAGGCACTGTCTCTTGCACTTGCGATTCAGGGTTTGTCTGCTATGAGCATTTGCGTACTTCTAAAACGATGATTGTTATGATAGGGACCTTAATATTAAGAATAGGGTTGCTGCAAGGGGCTCTCAGCAGTAGCCAACTTGAATATGTTCGCGCCTACCTTTTCAGTCAAGATAAGTTCGCGAGGCGCTATGGTTAGGATGACCTCGCCAGCCAGTTGAACTAATGTAGAGGCCTTAATAAGTAGAAACAGAATAGGGCTACATAAGGAACCCGGAAAAATAGTATGGGTAAGTATTTCCCTATATTGTGGATAAGGCTGCAAGGACAAGCATGTCGGGTTGTCCGGACAGAAAGACATCAAAGACATACTCAGCGTGCAACATGATGTCAAGCAGTGTCTTTCAAAACAAAGCTCGGTCAAGTCATCGGGTTGGGCGAGCAAGATGCAAAACCTTTGTGTATCAATGTGTGAATTCTAGTGGGCTTGCTTTTTCTACTGTGCGAGATCTATGGGGGCTCCAGTCCATGTAGATATGTTTCTTGATTATGCAGGTCTTCAGGTCTGCAGGTGTGTGCCGGTGGGAATCACACAACAGATACTGGTCTCCTGTTCGAGATGTGGCTGGTCTGTGCAACACAGACTGGAGCGACGTATCTGCTGCTGATAGCCGCGCCTGCCATCTAACGTCGTTGCCATTGGAGAGGCAGGACAGGACCCTTGGTGACACAGCATTCCGCATTGCGCAATTCAGCACTGCACACTCCCTGAAGCTGACTCTTGCTCAAGATTAAACTCTGGCTCAGGTAGCTGAAGCAGATAAGCCGAAGGGTGTTGTACTTCCGAGTTCCATCTTTAGCTGTCGCAAAAGCACAAAAAGGGTAGTTTGCTTCTCAGGTACGTACGTTCTGTGAAAGGGATGCATGAAAAAGAGCACAATGATAAACCAACTTTCCTCGGTTCGCCAAAGGCTCGTGTCCCGAAAGCCAATCACTTCAACGGTGGAGGCTCCCAATTTGACTCATCGTGTATGGGGGCCTTGCGAACTAGAATACGGTTTTGGGCTACAGGTACATTAGCTATGCTACAAGTACTTAGTGCCCCTTATTCTTCAGGCGCGTATATTCTCCCTGGCCCTTGGCCCTGACCGTGTCTGGAATTCGGGCTCAGCGCAGTGGGGAGAGAGACAGTGAGAGAGAGTCTGTCGTTCAACCCTCGTTCCTTCGGATCGCCAACATACCGAAGAGCTGCGAAACTTTCAGTATGCCCGAGACGCGCTGCATTCTCTCCATCAGGCACAGCAAGCCCAATAACCATCCATGCCCCAGAAAGCCAAACCACATCCAACAAAAATCTTCTGAGCATCCATTGGACCCCAAACCCTAAACCTTGAGCCCTGAAGCCCAAGCCCTAAACCCTCAAACATCTAATGCCTCCACACACCCGCGGCCCAAAACCCCAAGCGCGCAAAGTCTCAAACACCTGCACTGATTAGTACCATCAGGGCCTGTATATGGGCAGTTGTCAAAATTATGGCCCCTTTTGTGGGTACCCTAAAGATTAGGTGCCGGATTATGATAAAGACATAAGGACCCCAAAAAGGGCCATAATTCGGACAGCCACCCATATGAACTCCAAGACAAAAGCCCGACTCCCTCGGGTTCGCGCTGCACGGCCTTTGGCTCCCGGATGTCGTGTGACAGTATTGCATCCTCTCAGCGTTTTGGGTTGAGGGCTTTATCTGAATCTTTACAGGCTTAAGCCTCAGGGCTGTGGGTATTTACGGGTTTCAGTGTTTAGGGGTGGAGGGCTTTAGGCCCGATTTCATGCATAAAACCCTCTGGCTGAGCCCTCATCTTCTATCGGGACTAGATTATATGGGAGTTTCCGAAAAGAGGGGACAAAAATATAGTGCCCTAAATAGTCGGATCCTGATTAGAAGGATCCCAAAATAAGGTACCCCTAATGGTCGGAAGCTCCCATATCAAGGCAAGAGCTCTCAACCCTCAACCCTAAAACCTGCCCTGAGCCCGAAGCAAACACGCTTTAGGGTTTAGGGTTTAGGGCTTAGGGACACAAACCCTCTCCTTTACAACAAAGCCCAATAAGGTAGGGATATCCCTACAAAATGCTTATGCTTATGGTGGCGTGGGGTCTCCTTATAAAGAAACCCAATAAGGTAGGGATATCCCTATAAAATGCTTATGTGCCTTTGGGGGTCTCGAATCTCCGTATCCCGCCTCCGCAAAAAGTGAAGACGCAACCGGGCGAGCTCTATAGCTCCTCCAGGGGCTTGGGGTTTCAGAGCCTTTTAGGGCATCTACAGGGTTCCTGAAAAGGGATCAATAAGGGATCTATAGGGTTCCTTAAAGGGGTTCCTGAAAAGGGATCTATCTAAGGATTCCTTAACAGGGTTCCTGAAAAGGGATCTATAAGGGATCTATAGGGTTCCCTCGAAGGGATCCTGAACAGGGATCTATAAGGGATCTATCGTCGGGTTTGGGGTTTCAAAGCCATTTTAGGGATCTTGAACAATGTTCTACAAGGCCTTCGGGCTGAGGGAGAGGCTGGGGCTGATTAGGGACTAGGGCTTGGGGTCCGATAAGGGTTTTAGAGGGTCGTCAATCAGGCTTTCGCTGTTGTTCGAGTCTACATGGAGGTTAAGTGGTAGTTATAAGGGTCCCTTTAAAGGGATCTACAGGGATTCCATAAGGGTATAGGGTTTAGGGTTCAGCCTTTAGGGGTTCACTTGGAGGTTCAGGGGTAGTCATAAGTGTGGTTACAAGTCCCCTAATATGGGTTATAAGTATAGTTACCCTACTTATAGCCGCACTTATAACTACCCATGAACCTCCAAGTATTGAGGTTTTCCAGCTAGGAGTGCAAATGCTTTTGAGAGTAGTTCAAGGCATGGCAGGCACGTGGCAGCAAGAGAAACCCACGAAGTTCAGCACCCACAGCACCACAAGGATGCACAGGCACAATTAAAGGTTTTTTGCTTTCGATCGCACTCGAAAGCACCGGATCCATGCTCTTACAAACCCTCAAGGGTTCAGGGTTTAGGGATTCAGGGGTTAGGGTGCAGGGTTTCATGGTTAAGCGTTTAGGGTTTAGGGTTCAACCCCAAAATGCTGGAAACTGCGATCCGAAATCGTAAGCCCTCAGGTCCGAAGAACCCGAACGCTAAGCACGCACCTCGGAAGTTCCAAGACCGGGAGTGTTTAGCACGAAAAAAGAGGCTCAGGGCTCAGGGCTGCAGGTCTACGCGACTTTGGGGTTTAGGGCTTAAGGTTTATAAGGATTAGGCCAAGACGTCTCACAGGGGTTTGACCTGGCCAAAAATCCCGCAAGACATCTAACGGGAACATCCAGCCCAATGTCTCTACCATGCTGACGGAACACCGAGGCACACCAGTTCGCAGTACTCCGAAGTTAAAGCATGCAACCATGAATTACGTGCAGAGATCAACCGCTGGCAAAAACTGTTGCGGGCACCTGTTTTTCGGCAGTTCTAGTCCGGGCCACCACATGAATCCATAAGGGCCAATGGAGTTCCATGCAAATAACAGAAAAATACTTGAATACATCTATAGCCTATATAGCGTTACATCTTTGGTTTTGTTGCTATCTACGAAGTATCTCATAGGCAGGTATGTTTGATTCTTTGCTTTGAAGGGGGTGGGGGTTGAGAAACTCAGGGTCCCGTTTGGATTCTGCCATGTCGGTCTAGACGAAGACTTGATTGATGTGCCTTTTTTGAACATTTGACATAGTCCAATAGGATATCTCTGTGCCTCGACACGCACCCACAATTACTTACATGCATAGCTATTTAGATATGTTATTCTCGCTGTAGAACTAGCTGCGGCGTTTGGGATTGCTGCAATCTTATTTGCTTCGTAGCCCCCATTCTAACCCTTAAACCCTAAACCAGCTTACTATAGTAAACACATGGAAAGTAGTTCCTAAACCCTCTACCGCTCTACCTTCGTTCCTAAGAAGAACCCAGTCATTTCACTTGGCTATGGACTCCAAAGCCGTCTTCAGCTTCTGCAAGGCCTCTGTGAAGCCCTCGCGGCCTATGCCGAAGCCTCGGTACACCATACACAATACCCATAGGCCCCTTAGTAGTAGCTCCTTTTTCGGGGCTCATATTAAGAATCCGATAAGGCAATCCCAAAAAGGAACTACTATGGGGCCCATGGGTATGCGATGCTGGAGTAGATCGTTGTTTTGTGTCGCCAGCCAGGTACGGGTGATGCTATCATGCACAGGGCTGTGGTGCTTGCAGCCCCCCCCCCCCCCCCCCAAATTCAGGTAGTCTAAACCTTCAGGTCCCGCACATGAACCAAGCGCTTCCGAAGCCCGGAATTCTTGCATCAGGAGGCAGAGTCTAAACTTTCTAAGTAGGCACAAGGATGGGAGACCGCTTGAAAGGTATATCAGTTTGCAGCCATGCAGCGCACGCACGGGAAGCTTTCGAATTCGAAGAAGTCGCTGACGACCATGCAAATGCTGTGCTCCTGCCTTAGTCACATCACCCTCCAAAACGAGCGCCTCAAGCAGAAGACTAGGGTTTTGCGGTTAGAGAACTTATGACCATTATTCAGACTCCTAATGTACTGCCTCCAAATGCTTAAAAAATAACCACAAGGGGATAGTACTCAGACTCCTATATACATCAAGCCCTAAACCGAAAAACTCTTCCCCTAAATGTTCCAAACCCCAAACACCTATCTGATTGCGCGCAGCAGTCAAGTTGCGCAAGGTACTCGGCAAGAGCGGCGGCCGACTTGAGCCTGGGGGAAGCACTGTCCGCCACTCCACCTGAGCGTAAAACCATGCGAAGATCGCTTTAGGGTTTATCCATAAGCCTCTTAGTAGTTCCTCTTTGGGGTTCATATTAAGACTTCGATAAAGCACTCCCCAAAAGGATCTACTATGGGGCCTATAGGCAGGATTTAAGCGGTCCAGGGTTTATGATGGTCCTGATCCGAGAAATGCTGGATTGGCTAGGGTCTGAGAGCTGCTTGTATATTTGCCGCTCTCTGCAGCGGAGGCACCGAGAGGGAACTTCAGCCGGGCGAAGACAACAGTTGCACGCCAGTTGGTGAGGCGATCGTTGTGCCGATGTTGGTTCAGTGGATAGAACCACTGAGGCAAAGACTGCAGTACCTGGGCACGCAGCACGTCTGTCGGTTACGTGAGGACCTCGTGCAAGAGAATTTCTCGATACCGTGGCTTGCAGTAAGGTGGCAGACTGCAAGACTTGGTAGTTCTTCGCCGCAATGTCGCGGTTGCGCGACAAGAAAGAATCTGGATTGCGCAACGCGATGATGGAGAGGATCTCGCTGTGTGGAGGTAGGCAAAGCGTGGTGTAGTCCTCAGCATGAACCCCCCTACCCGACACTGCATTCCTCTCTGACTGCGGTTGCCAGGCTTACAGAACATGTGGATGAGTTTCCAGGTCTCGACGTACAAGATCGTATAAGCCTCTTGCTAACACGTGGGGCCGCGGCGCCTGGCATAACGTATCAACGGAATGTTTTTCACCTGCTGCCCGAGAAGTAGATGACTCGAACCGTACCTTTTGACGTCCGAGACATAAAGCACTGCGGCAGCACACCGACAACCCATACAACCGCACTCACATTCAGTAATCGAGTGAGCACATAAGCTTCGACCCGCAGTGGCGCGAAAAGGTCAGCAACGCTCCATCATGGGCCCGGGGCATCGGGTGTATAGGAACGCCCACATGCTTTGCGACTGCCCCCAAGAGCCCATGCGCCGTTTTAGTATTCTAGTATTTTGCTTGGGCTTAAAGCAGCCCTATAGAAGTAACTAAAGCCCAAAGTATCTACTATATAGGTACATGGACTCTTAGGGTTAGGCAAAGTTCTATGGCTGGGACGCCAGCATCCTGCTCGGCATGGGGTTGGAATTTGAACCCGAAGCGCCCGAAGCTGCAGTCGACGTACAATAACAAACAATTAACTTGACTTCTCATACCCATGTCCATATCTTTAAATAGGGCTCCGGTTGCGTAGATAATGGGTTACTAAGGTACATATTATATTAGATGGCTAATAACCAGTATCTGCAGCTCCAAGGAAATGAGCCAGGCATCGCGCAGGGAGGTGATGCTGTCAAAGTGCTTCTTGTCGGAACCTCAAATAGCCCCGACAGGAAGGTAACAGAAGCCTCGGCGATTGCAAGATTCGATGAGACGACAAGATGACTGCATAGCATGGCCACATCATGATGGCATGACAGACAACGGCAAGAAGATCGCGAGACAGAAATACCAATAAGCAACAAAACACAAGGACATGATAAGGACATGCCTGGGCGATGTACTGACAAGGACAGCCGCACGACTGGAAATTGCAGACCTGCCAGCATTATCACTTTCACTGTCTTACTGCTGAAGCTACTCACCAGGGTCAACAAAGCTGCAGCACCATTGCCAGCACTACTGATCCCTAGCCGTTAGCATTTCTGCTAACGTCATCTGACTAGACTCGCAGACATCCACTACTCAACACTATTCGAAGTAGCAGGGCTGCTGCGTGCGTTCTGAGGTTTGTGTGCTCCATTCCCTGATTATGCTGCAGTGACCACATGTGATTGCAGCGATGACTAAGTTTTCTAATGCTTGCAAATGCACAACTTGAACTTGGATTGCTCGTGCTGCAGAAGATAAGTCCCACAGACGAGGAGCATACCAGCCAGCCCATGCGCAGCCCGGGCATTCCCCATGGCTTCGATAAGCCAGACCTTTGCGGCGTAGGGGTGCATCATGGCTTGCACACCCTATTATACTATTTAGAGCCCTAACCCTGAACCCTATAAAGCCTAAACTTTATTATTTAGAACCCTATAACCCCAAACCCTAAACCGCATCCGAGACCATCCATTATATCTGTGGGACTCTAGGCAGCTATGTGCATGGATTCCAGAGCGCCTGACCCCACTGCACCCTGAACCTCCCTACAGCTTTGGGAGTTGCAGAGTCAAGGCTCAGGCGGTCTAAGATTGATTCATGTAGGGTTTAAAGTTTAGGTTTCAGGGTTTAGGGGTTTAGGGGGAGGGCTTATAGGGTTTGGGGGTATCAGGTATAGGGCTTGGGCCAGGCCGAGTGGCAGTACCATGGCATTCCTTTTGCCCACCATGCTCGGCGCGTGTGGACCGAGCATGTCACCATACCTCGGTAGTCTTTGCAACTGCCACTTTTCATGTGGGCAAGGTGGAATAACACGACTGAACCTGGACCTCGCGAGTAGTATTCTTGCCATCGTCGCTGTCATCGTCATGTTCATCTTGTCGAACAGCATCACCAATGCCAGCACCATCACTTCATCACCATCGTCACCATGAGCGCCATCACCATCACCGTCCATGACGATATTTTCGTGGCCATGCACATAGACTCTGAGCAGCTGTTACGCATGGAGTCGTGAGAGGAACATCTGGGAAGGCAAAAAGGGTGCTGCCAATGAACTGACGGCAGGGGCAGGCCGTTCTCTTTGAGTATCGAAGTTCGAATAGATTCGAAACACTGTTTCTTTGAGGGTTCCTTTTTGAACCACAGTATAGCATAACCCCAAGTGTGGTTCTAACACTGATTGAGGCCCTTTTCATAAAGCCCCCCATGCAAACCTGACATAGCCGTTCTAGGAACCATCACGAAACACTATTCCAATTACTAAGGCCACTATAGAAACTTTCACGATATAGAAAAATCACCAGGATTGTTCAGGCGCCATCTGCAGTCTATGCGAAACCAAAACCGCTCTGAAACTCTGGACCCGTCGAATTGCATCTCATCGGAGAAGAGCACAGCCGGCTCTGCTTGTGGCAGCTTCATCAGCATCTCGGAGACTGCGTCCAACTGACTTTGGTCGAACGCAGCACCCGTGGGATTGTGGGGGGAGTTGATCACCAACATTCTCAGCGGCGCCTCAAAACTGACATTCCTTGGCTTGAGTTGCTGAACTTCAAAGGGGTCGAGGATTTCAGCGTCTTCCTGGGCCTCTCAGCCGCCCTCTCTGACACCCCCAATGCCCACCATTAGGGACCATAAGGGCTCTATTCATGGGCACTTGGGTGGGTTCTGGCTTAAGTCATTCGATTTTATAGTGCACGTCTGTCAGTGCAGGGTTCGGAACTCACTCTAATTCCTTGGCTTCATCTATGTGGCCGGTTTCCATCATAACTCCTATAACGAGTCGTATATACTACTCTTCTGTTTACCTTTCTCCTGTTGACGATGTTCTTCTCGCTCTTGTTGTTGAATGGAAAAACTGTTGGGCGATTGGCAGGTGCTTTAGCTTGTTAGTCAACTTCGCAGACTGCTCGCGTCTCTAACGCTAATGTAGTTAGAATAGGGTTTTGGGGCCCATTCTAATCTACTACTCATAACAAGGAAGCCCGAAAATAGTATTGGTAATCATGTAGGCCCCTATGATAAACCCTTATGGCACGCATATAGGATCCCTTAAAGGGGCCCTTGAAGGGAACCCTATGGTAACTAAATCCTTCTACTGGCTGCTCTTCCTGCCCAGATCGGTCATGTGGCTGTTGCTGCTCTCAGTCTTTCTAGTGTGCTTGTCGCTGCAGTTGTTCCGAAATAGTCTATCGGTGGTCGTGCCCCTCATGCTCTAAAACCCTAAACCCTAAACCCATTAACCCCCAACCATACGCGCTGATCGTCTTAATACCTGGCTGCTTGTGGCTGCTTGTGAGTCTCCCTCTCGACTTTTTCTTTTCTGCTAGCCTGCATCGTGTCTCTTTCTCTCTCCCGCCCCGAACAATGCCTCGCTTTCTCTCTTTGTTTCTCTACCTCTACATATTCATGCACGTAGACGCCTATCCTTCCGAGAATCTCAACAGTATCATACTTGCCGGTCGTCTGGGCACTACTTTGGCCAAGCTAAATCTTAACCCCTAAACCCTAAACCTTACCTTAACCCTGAATAACCTACCTTTTTGGGGTTCCTTATTATGATTTCCTTATATAAGTCCTTAAAACGGTAGGTCCTTCAGGGTTAAGGTAACCCCTAAACCGAATGCTTGCAAAGTCCCAGCTTCTGGTCCAGCAGCGTCTGCAAATCGCTAAGCCGGAATTCCCAAAAGCCCTGCTGGTCGAAGTACGGTGCCCAACTGAGCAGGCGGCAGCGCTTGCTGCGGGCAATCTCATAGAGTGCCTGGTCAGATGGAAAGCCTTGCAAAATCTTGAGCAATCAATCAGCACAGTAAAACCAGTAAAGCCTACAGTATGACAAAGCACAACATAGCAATACTTCGCAGGAAGGGAGGCCCAGATTCATATCTCGGGACTGTACTAAAGCAGAAAAGTGCATCAATCATGCATGCGGCAGAGAGCACACAGATCCTCCGTCCGTAACAAATTCAGATGTAATGTTAAAGCATGTCGGGTTAGATCAGACCGCACGGCGTCAAGTCTGCAAGCGTGTTCAGTGGTATACATCACTGTGCAAAGTTGAACCGCAATCTGTCGATGCTGCGGAATCATGTGTCAGTGTCGTGATACGCAGCCAGACTGCGGTTATCTGCGGGAAGACTGCATGGTATTGCTTCGTATGTCGTTCCAACATGCTGTCGATGATGCATGTGTTTCATACGACATATGGGTAGTTGTCAAGCTTAAGGTGCCTTTTCGGGTACCTTAAATAATCGGTGCCGCATTATGATAGGGACCCGCAACGGACCATAATTTTGACAACCACCCACATTTTTGTGGACATGGTCTCCGTGTTGATTCATGGCAAATATTCGGATTTGTTTGCTTTCGGATGTCATCGGGATGTCCGGAAAGCATATTTATCTTGGGCAACATGGGTATGAGCAATGTGCTCGCGGTAGCGTTCGGATAAATACTGCTGTCGTGATGATTGGGGCAGTGATGGCGTCACTGACGAACGTCATATGTACCCCCACGGTCCCACAGTTGAAAACAGCCAAAACCACAGTCCTGCTGGCAGAAACAGCATTTTGCTAGTCAAGTGCAGCACAACAGAAGCAAGAGCCACGAACTTGCAAACTCCTGCTTCGACCACACCAGGAACTCAAAGCAGGCGGTCCTAAGTAGAACAAAGTTCGGAATTGGGAAAAGCTTTCCTCATAGTCCCTATTCTGTACTGCCACAATATACACGTCAGAACAACGTATACAACGATACTGATAACCGCTCACCTGCACGCACCACCAATGTAATCAACATATTTCAACAATGTGACTCCGATGCCTGGAACGATGGGAATGCAAACAACACACCGGGCACGCCGAAATACGAGATAGTGTCGACATGGTTCCTTGACCAGTCCTCAAATGAAGTATCGTGAGCTTGCCGCTCGCCCACAGCGGCGCCCAAAACAATCTCGAACCCTATTTGGACACCTTCTGCCTGATATGCAGGCATCATGGTCACGATCTGATCGCCCTCGGAGAGAAGGGAGGTCATGGCGGCGAAAATGCCCTCAACAGGGACGCAGGTTGTGATCCTTGGCAGCCGATCAGGGGCCTCAACCCTAACCCCCTAAACCCGAAAAACTGAAACCCCAACCCCTAAAACCCGAAACCCTAAAAGCCCAAACCCCTAAAACCTTAAACCCTAAAAGCCTAAGCCCTGATCCCCTAAACCCTAAACTGGACACGGCGCAACAGGCGGAAACTTCTAGGTTGGCCCTTTAAAGCCCTCTGAAAAATATTCGTAAATAAAGTCCTATTAAGCCCAAATAAGGAGAAATATAAAGTGTCCCAACGGCCTACAAAGCTAGGTTGCGAGAACACGCTGGATCCTGCTGGCCCTCGCGATCTCACGGGCTATCTTTCGCTGAGGGTCCACATGACCATATGGGAGTTTCCGAAAAATTGGGGTACCTTCTTTTGGGGTGGATCCTACTATTTAGGGTACTATATTTGGGTCCCCTATTTTCGGAAACTCCCATATAGTAGATACTTTGGCCCCAAGGTACCCAAATAGGGACTACGTTAAGCCCAAGGTATACACCATAACGGCACATGGGTGGTTGTCAAAATGATGGTCCCTTTTGGGGTCCCTGTTGTAATACGGCACCTGTTTTTTTTTTAAAAAAATCCCAAAAACGTACCTTAATTTTGACAACCACTCAGATGGAACCTTATGGTTGGATTACTGCCTAAGGGCTCCTGTGCAGCTTAAGGCTCTGCAGGGGAACCAGCGCCGGCTCCTTTTCCAGCCGATAAGCATAGTGCTTCCTCCCCAGACTTTCGGGAGGTTTAGGGCTTAGGGGGTTTAGGGTTTAGGGGCTTAGGGTTTAGGGCCAAGTTTAGGGGTTCAGGGTTTAGGGCCGGGAGGATCTAGAAAGTAGGGGCCCTATACTCACTTCTTGGATCCTTTTGGGGGTCTGGGTTGAGGTGGCGTGTCTGGCATCAGAACATTGCTTGTAAGTATCATGGCTGATTTACAGCTGACAAGTATCATGGCTAGACTCATCTCGAAACCTAAATCCGAAGCCCAAGTAACAAGCCTCTTCCGAACTCCCAGTTGCTGCGCATGAAACATACTACTTCCTCAAGAGTCACCTGGCAATGAAAGCGGAGGAAACGACGGCAAGCAAAAAGGACAAATAACAGGTATGCTACTGACCGGTGAGTTGCCATTCTTGCAAGCAGCAAGACAGTTCGTCCGAACACCGGTCCTGATTTGTTCCAGGAGCGTTGGATGTCCAAGCGACTCCTACGAGGGACGCCGTGTCACTGCTGGGCGGGAAATTTGGGGAGCTTCCTGCCTTCCGGGTTTAGGGGGCAGGACAAGGGCCAAACCATCGTGGAAGTTACTCAAGGACATTGGGCTCCCAAAGTGAAGCCCCTACTTCGATCGGGTTTGTAGACCCTTTCTTGGTCCCAAGCCCATGTTGCCCAAGCCCATGTTGCATCCTCTAGCTGACCTGCATTCCTACGTCGATCGATCGCGCAGCAATGACTATGAATTTCGAGAGCATCGTCCCAAATTCAATACCGGGCATTCCAAGTAGGTTTCACAAGTACATAACCTAGTTCTGGTACCCTGAAGTGGTAACGAGACATCACATATCCCAGGCCATCAACTAGCAAGCACCCCTTAGACCCTAAACCCCCAAACCCTAAACCCCCAAACCCCAAAACCCCTAAAACCCCAAACACCCTAAACCCCAAAACCACAAAAAACCCAAAACCCCAAAACCCCTAAACCCCAGTTAAGCCCCTAGGAGGCCGAAGGCTCCGTGTAACCAAGAGTGGATGAGTCCCACATCTTCTGGCCTCGGAGTGCTGGGGCTGGAGGTCTACTTGGAGAGTTCGGGCTCTTTGGTTTTGAAGTTCAAGGTTTTTAGGGCTTAGGGCTTTGGGTTTAGGGCTTTTGGGTTTTTACTCGGGCTCTTTGGTTTTGAAGTTAAGGGTTTAGGGTTTTGGGCTTAGGGCTTTGGGTTTAGGGGTTTTAGGGTTGTAGGGTGTTGAGGTTAAGGGTTTAAGGGCTGAGGGGCTGTAGGGTTTGAGAGATAAGCCCCTAATGATTTTGGCACGAGTTCAAGGGTCTAGGGCTTGGGGCTTGAAGTTAAGGGTTGAAGGTTCAGGATTTGGGGGTTTCCGGAAATAGGGGTACCTTATTGTGGGGTCCTTATATTATAAGGATCCACTATTTATGGTGCTATACTAGGGTCCCCTAATTTCGGAATCTCCCATTTGGGGCGTAAGGTTTGCGGCTTAATTTGCGTAGTCATGTCGAGCTTTAGCAGTAGCGGGGAGCTGGTACAAATGCCACACTTGCTCACACGCGCACATGCAGATGCATCGCCCTCTGGGAGTTTACCAACACAAGCTTCCTTACTGCTTGCACAACTACGAATGAAGCGAAGCCCAGCAAAGCCCTTTCAGCAATGCACCGGCGTTACGCCGCCGAGAAGTAGCAGCAGTGCACGGGAGGGACCCAACTACGGACTGACAAGAGTAGAAGGGATCCTCGTGGTCAGGATAGAACAGGACCCCAAAAGAAGGGTAAGGTTACCCCTAACTTTATGAATTCTTGTTTATATACTTCTGCAGACTTGCATCCTCAACCTTGAATCTGCATTAACCACCGCAAGAATGGCACCCTCAAGCCGTGAAGAGCCAAATGCAATGGTGGAAAAATCTTGTCCCAAACCCTTACAGAACCCTCAAAGCCTAAAAATGTCGGAAACCCCATGAACCTCTATCGAAGCCCAGAATATAGGGGCCTTAATAATGACCTATACTATGTTTGGAGGTTCCTTATTACAACTGTAGTATAGTGGGCTCCAAAGCACTGTTCTAATTATTCAGGCCCCTACATCATAGACCCCTACTATAGATCCCTTATAGAACCCTTTCAAGGAGCCCTCCAAAACAGGCCCTACATCCTTTAGTATCCCTTAAGGGAACCCTTGAAAGGAACCCTACTCTAATTAAGGCCACTCTTTTAAACAGCCCCCCCACATCCTGAAATCCCTTATAGTACCCTTACAGTATCCCTTATAGGGGAACTTTTTAAAGGAACCCTATTCTAATCAATCCCCCTTTTTTAAGAGCCTTGTCCTTTGGACCAGAGGGGCACTCGGCGTCGGCTGCAGCGAGGACTTCCCTGGTGGTCCAGGCTTCGCAGTCCGAGCAACTGACCATGTACTTGCAGGTAAACTCCTGGGGAGGTGACGATCGATATAAGTTCAGGGTTAGGGCTTAGGGTTTAAGGTTTAGGGTTTAGCGTCGAGGGTTTGAAGTTCCGGGTTTACGGGTCTACGTGACTACGACTGCGGACTCAGCATTAGGAGCAGTAAAGGCTCTAGAAAGCTGCTTCTACCTGCTACTGCTCCGTTGAAGCCAGCCTGACAGCCCCACTAAACGACGACCAAGTCTCGTACTTGGCAAAAAACCGCTCCATGAAGGACGGGCGAACGCCATCTACTTCCTGCAGTTCAGATCCAAGAGCGTTCTGACGTCTAGAGAAGCTTTTTGGGATGAGACATCTTGGCAGCACTTCGGCAGTCAGTCATTATAGACCCTGATTCGCTCTGCTGTGAGTGCTGCACGATACATGTTCTTGTCGGTGATGATGACGGTTACAATTGACAATGACAACAGTGATGCTTACGATCTCGGTTATAGTCAAGATAGCCGCGACGACGAAACCGTTAGGGATAACGGGATAACCGATTGCTGGTAATGTTGATGATTCCCATGATGACAGGTGCCATGGTGGTTACGGCAAGGGTCTTCGCAGTCTTGGCTATCCTAAGGCAGCATCAGAACCAGCTGCGGTTCTTGTGAGACGTTCGTCTATCGATCATTGCCCGGCTACCACTTAGAGACACGTTCTCGCTTGCCTCGCAGCGCCTTCGCTTGGCGTCTTTCTCGCCATTGCCCACAGCTGGCTGTGCCACCGCGACAGTTGCCATGGCGATCTACTGACTACGGGCGCCGAACTGGCCCCTCTGCAGCTGTCACGGACTTGAGGCTCCATGGCTCATCTTGGCCGGCAGCGAAATGAGCAATACTCATCTCACGCTCAAAGGGCAGCTCTCGTCTCCAAGGTCCATCTGGAAGAGAAATGCAAGGGAATGTTAGCATGATGGTAGAAATAAAGCTTAAACTTATAATAAACAGCTATTTAACGTATAATTACCGTTGCCATTTCTGCACGTAACATTAACTGAAGCTTCAAACTTAGGTTAGGAGCTCCACGCGCAAAGCGGCGTCCTGCTTGCCCCTCCTGCGCTGGCCTGCAGTAAGGCAAATCAAAGGGCGAAAACACTTCTTCGAACGGAGACTCCGAGAAACTGTGTCTTGAGATTCATATGTCACATGCTTTTCTGCGATTTATTGAGCAGATCAAACCCCCCCGTCAAACCATGCACCCTAGACCCTAAACCCCTAAACCCTAAGCCCCTAAACTTGTTTAGGGTTTAGGGCTCAGGGTTTAAGGCCCCAAACCCAACAATGGGCCCCACAAGCCGAAACCCTGCAGTACTGGCCTGTAGCAGCGTCTCACCGGATCCTGAGCAGGTCGTGTCCACTTTAGAAGGGCTAGTATAGGGGCCTTAGTAATTACCATATAGGCTTCCTTTAAAGGGCTCCTTTAAGGGATCTTATATATGGGTACCATAAGGGTTTAGTATAGGAGCCTGAATAATTACCTATACCATTCTGGGGGGTTCCTTATGATAATGGGCCCTATTCTAATTATTAAGGCTCCTATATGCCCCTATATTATCCTGCAACGAATCAGACCACAACTACGCTGAATACACGTGAGGCCGGACCACCGCAGAAGCACAGGCATATCAAAAACATCCGCCCCCTGCCCGGGCCGTGCTGAACCCGGATCCCAGCCTCCTTCGAGCAACGCGGGAGCTGCCCGCAGCAAGCCCATGGCACCGTTTATGAAAATTCCTGAGTCCTTGCTCCGCTCCATTAGTGAAACTTTGCGTGGAGAAAGACAGGTCCTTGCCAAGTTTCTGAAGAAAGCCGTAGACTGAAATTTCCCTAGTCCGCAGACGCATGCACCTTCAAGTCATTAACCCTTAAACCCACACATCTTCAAAGTTGCGGCAGAATGGCCGGGCTTCACGAAGCAAGACTAGGTAACAAGTCACAGCAGTAGTCGCAGAAGTAGTAGTAGTAGTAGTAGTAGTAGTAGTAGTAGTAGTAGTAGTAGTAGTAGTAGTAGCAGTAGTAGTAGTAGCAGCAGTAGTAGTAGTAGCAGCAGCAGTAGTAGTAGTAGTAGTACTAGTACTAGTAGTACTAGTACTAGACGTGCTACTAGTACTAGTAGTACTAGTACTAGTACTAGTAGTAGTAGTAGTAGTAGTAGTAGTAGTAGTAGTAGTAGTAGTAGTAGTAGTAGTAGTAGTAGTAGTAGTAGTAGTAGTCGTAGTAGTCGTAGTAGTAGTAGTAGTAGTACTACTAGTAGTAGTAGTAGTAGTAGTAGTAGTAGTAGTAGTAGTAGTAGTAGTAGTAGTAGTTGTAGTAGTAGTAGTAGTAGTAGTCATCAGGGTAGGAGAGGCAACAGTAGTGCGAAATAGTGATGGACAAGAGTAGTTGCAATCACCGAAGCCAAAAAGGAACTACTAAGGGGCCTATGGGTAGGCTCTGAACTCGAAACCCTTAAACCCTAAACCGGAGGCTTTTTCGAAAAACGCTTGAAACTTTGGGGGCTGTTCCGCTTGTTGTGTGGAATATCATGTCGCCGGATGGGCAAGCCGACTCGCGGGGATATCAAGAATCCGACAATTCAATCCAAAAAAAGAACTACTATGGGGCGTATGGGTAGCTAGCATGCCCCGCCCGTGAAATTGAGCACTCGTTGAACCACACGGGGAGGGCTGGGGTCGAAAGGTTTAGGATTTCGGGGTTTTGGGTTCAGGGGTTCTTCTTTTTTTATGGGCTCTTTTGCTTCTGCGGTTTAGGGTTTCTGGGTTTAGGGTTTAGGATTTCGGGGCTTAGGGTTCGGGGTTGTTTAGGGTTCAGGGTTCAGGGTCACAAGCAGCATCAGCCTTGCCTCGTATCCGAACATCTTGTTGAGTCTCAAATTTAAAAGCCTAGGAGCCATTACGAATCCACACCCCTCACAGTAAACCCGAAATCCCAAAACCCTAAACCCCTGTAAACCCTAAACCCTGAAACTTTTGAAATGCAAAAGCAGCTGGAAGGTCATGGATTCGCTTCCGGTTTTCGCCTAAACGGCGGCTGTCTCTCCGTTGCCACCCGACCACTGTCTGGTTCTTAGAAGGGAATGGCGGTCATGGAGACGATGATTGGGAATTATATAGGGACTACTACAGGGATCCATTCCCCCATTCCCTACTAAGCACCAGACAGACCAAGCCGACTTGCTGATCTATCCCTGGCCTCTCCAAACTGTTGGAATGTTCATTGCGATCTGGACAGGTTTTCAGGCTACACCAAACAAATAACCGCATAATATGAATAGATATAGACAGATTATAAGTGTGTGTGTATATATATATATATACATATATATATATATGTGTGTATATGTATACGTATATGTATACACCTATATGTATTTTCACATATGTTTTAAAATTTAAAATAGATATAAATATCTAAAACCTATTTTCGTTCGCCACTACTTATAGAATCTCGTTTGATTTCTTATGTAGTTACTAAGATGTTTAATTTCACTATTATATAAAAATTAAAAAATGTTTGCACATATGTGCATGTGTATATATCTATGTATATATCTATGTATGTATGTATATATATATATATACATAGATATATTCGGACTAAAAGCCGATGTTGTTGAGGCCTAACAGTCGACTGCGCGAGAGGAGGGTGCTCCTCGAGGCTTCACAGGAGACTCCTCGAGCCTGGCCCATGCATCTTTGGGCGGGGAGCTCTTGACCAGTAGGTGCCTTCGGCACTGCTTTGCTGGTGCGCCCGCCGTGCATGGTCAAGAATGGGCCTGGGTGTGGGAGGATGGGGGTGGGGGAGTTGGGGCAGAAGGGTGGATATTTTGGGAGCCATCTTGGATGCTAGTGGCTCTCCTGCAAGACATGCTGCCTCACGACTTCTTTAGCCTTGCGGCTCACATGCCGCCGGGCTGGAATGAGTCCTACCAAGCAGGACACCAGTGCACAAATGCCAGTGACTACTTCAGCAACAGCGAGATCTTCACTGTAGGGCCAAGTTTCAGGTGCTAGAAACCCCAGCGGCCGATTTGCCCAGGAGACAGCGCAAAGGAAGGCCCTTGGGGCGTCCCCGAAAATTCGCGTGTCTTCCCGGAAGGCTTCATAGATGTACCAGTGCTTCAGGCGTACGGGAGAAGTGTGGCCGGTGGGGATTTTGAATCGAAGCCTCCATAGGAAAAGGCTTAACCGACAGAGATCCCATAACGAGACCAGATGGACGAAGCCAGGAAAGCCCAGGGGAGTAAAGACGAAAAGCAGGATTTCCAGAATCCTGTTGCCGTTGTACTGAAGCCAGACCAGCCGACTGGGTCGGCACAGCATCTGCCAAAGCAGCCCGGGAAAGGCCAAGCTGAGAATCGTCAGTGCACCATATAAGGAGCCACCAGCCATAAAAGCGGCCGTGCTCAGCCAAAGTGCTGCCACGACATTCGCCATGTGAAGCAGCCAAGCACCTCCCAGAATCGAGAGCAGGCGCATCACCTCTGCCTGCCGTGCGGCACGAAGAGGCCGGGCAGAGGTCCTCACAGCTTTCCCCGCCCCGGCGGCCGTTTCCAGGTAGACGTTGGAAAAATGGAGAAACCTGGGTTCTTGTAACGGAAATTTACATAAGCTACCCTAACAACCATAACCCTATTCTCTACAATATTTGTCATAAGCTACCATAACAACGAAACCGTATTATGTACTATAGATCCCTGACAAGGTAACCGAAGTTAAGCTCCTTAACAAGAGCCCAGAAACAGCTCACCGAGGCCATAAGGCCAGCTTCGACCCTGAGTGCGTCGACCTAGATCGCCGGAAGGAGGGCCCAGGAGGCTGATCCTTAGCTGCTTTACTGGGTTCTTGTTAAGGCGTTATATGTAAGCTACCATAATAAGGAAGCCATCGTATTTACCATAGGTCCCTATTGTGCTGGGATCTTGTTAAGGGATCTTATTTAAGTTACCATAGTAAGGAAGCCATATTGTTTACCATAGATCCCTTTTATGCTGGATTCTTGTTAAGGGATCTTATTCAAGTTACCATATAGTAAGGAAGCCATGTTATTCACCATAGATCCCTATTATGGTACCTCAAATTAAACTCCTTATAGCAAGAACCCAGCTTAGCTGCTTTAAGGGAGTGAAGGGACGCGCAACCACCGGCTGTCCATGCCAAGCTTCTGCAACGTCTTGCTGCCCTTCTTGGAGAGCGTCTGCTCATCGTACAGGAAGACAACTTGGGGCGAAGGGAAAAAGTCAGCTGGGTCCTGCGGAGAACAGGACACTGATGGGAAAGTGAAATCTGTCAAATACCAACGACGGAAACGAGCATCTCGTCATCTTGCAATCCTTGGGGGCGTGTCGGGCTACGCTGCATTCTAGGTGCCGGGCTTGTCGGATGCATGGTATGGTAGGTCCGAAAGCCAAAGCGAAACTCTACATGCGACAGCTGGCTAGCAAAGTTGTACGGTGTCCTTCACAACCACCTTGTGCACGACGTACTTGTCGGCATCATGCTCTAGCACGTGTCCCAGCTCGAAGGTCACAGCAACTTTCATAATGCCATCACGGCGTACCTGTCAGCTTTGCATGTAGTCTTGGTCAGGGCCGATGCTTGCGGTACCAACTTTAACAACACCGCTGATCCTTCTTGTGTGTAAGCTTGTTTGCTGGGACCACTCGACTTGCTTACTCGCTCCAATGGTGGCGGTGGTGGTGGTGGTGGTCTGTGGGTGGTCGGGGTCGGGCGGCGGTGGTGGTGTTGCGGTGGTGGTACTAGTTTACAAGTAGCAGCATAGGTGTCAGCAGGTATTTGCAGACGACTAGGCTGCCCTTGCAAATCAAGGGGCAACAGGCTAGATAGTCACTGCTCAACATGGACTGTCATAGTGTCGAGGTATCCAAAGTGCAACTTGCTCTGTATAGTAGTGGCTTTAAACCTGGCGAAAAGCCTAAACCCAAGCAGTGGTGTTAGGCTTCGAGTTCTCATGTTTTCGCCAGCTGCCTTGCCCAACCTCTGAAAGGGCTTTGCTATTTCTGCCATTTCCGCGCCTCAAGGATTTGACCAGGTTTCATCAGGGGACAGCGGCCCTTGTCAATCGGCCGTACCAGCACCTTCTGTCCAGCTCGGCAGTAGCAGGTTCGGGGCTGAGCACTTGAGGTTTAGAAATTAGGGAAGTTTCTGAAACTTGGGGTACCTTATTTTGGGGTCCTTAGAACAATTATCCTACCATTTAGGGTACTCTATTAGGGTCCCCTATTTTCGGAAACTCCCATGTGGGCTCTCTGCCGGCTGTTGAGAACGGGGAATACCAAAATGCGTTCCGAAGGTTCCTGTCGCGAAATGCTGAAACCGCTTCAGCCCGGAAATCATACCCTCAAGCCTAAAACTCGCAACCCTAAGGGCTGAAACCCCACACCCCGAGCTTGCAATCGTCCAAAAAGACCGAAAGTAAGGGCATAAACGTTTTGAACCCTAAACCCTAGGGCACGAACATAGTAAACTGCAACAGTGTAACTCCGTCAGCTGCACATGTACATGTCTGCCCCTCAGCTTTCGCTCGAGAGGGGCCCCTTTTCAGGAGCAGCTTTACGTTAGCTGCTTGAGCCACGGATCGCGCCCTGCGCGCGTCGACAAAAGGTTTCGAGCTCTGTGCTCGTTGTAAGCCCGATCTTGACTGTTCTGTGCGACTTCAGCTGCATTGGCAGCGGAGCAGAGTTGCGATCCAGGACGCTGTCCCCTTCTGAAGGAAGTGGACTGGTCAGTGCTTGTGCTTAGGCTGCCGGCCAACCGCGGACGTTATCTACTACCTGCCGGCATCCGCCCTGTGGCTACTGCAAGGTGGTTACAGGTTTTCTCCTTTTCCTTTGAGGTTACCGTTTTTCCTGAAGATGTCTGACGGGAAGGAACAACATCATGTTCCGTCCTGGGACGGAAGCGCCCGTACGTGGCGTCGCTACACGAAGGAGGTTTCATGGTTCGTTCAGAGCACACCTGTGAATAAGAGGCGGTACTGCGCCTCACGCCTCCTCAGCAGGCTTATGGGGCCGGCCAGGTTGCTGGCTATGAGCTGGAGCTGGAACAAGATGCACTTCGACACCACGGAAGGAACGAGATTGTTTCTGCAGAGACTGGCGGCGTCGCCGCTAGTCCGCAAGAATCTTCCCAATGCTGCTGCGATTTGCAATCAGTACTTTGCTTTTCAGAGACGAGCGGGGGAAAATATCAGTTCGTTCCTTGTCCGGGAGTCCTTGGTGCACGAGGAGTTCTGTGAGGCGATTATCCGACTCCATGAAGACCGCTTGGGAATCTCCCAAGAATCCAGAGACTTCGGCATCCCTGCCGAGGAGCCCTACGATTGGTCAGATGAGGCCTGGAATGGACCATCCTGGTGGACCGACGACTGGGATGAGGATGCGCCTTCTGGAGGCGAACGAGCTGGCGGAGCCGATGAGGAAACTGCGGCGGAACCTACTGCTGATGCTCCCTCTCCGACAGCTGCGCCGGGATCTTCTCCTTCTCATGCTGGTGGCGACCGCTCGCCCACCAGACCGGCATCCGTCTCTGCGAAGGAACCTGGAGAGGAGAAAGCTCCTCAGGCCATCGACGAGTTGGCCATTGCTGACAGCTTCATCATGGAGGTTCTTCGTGGATGGAGATTGTTGCAGGCGGCAGGTCTCACGGCGGAGGAGAAGAGGGATATTCTTTCCACGACCAAGAACAGCCTGGACTATGAAGTCATCGCGTCAGCCCTCCAGAATCTGTGGGACGAGCAATTGCTCGGCCAAAGACACAGCTCCTCGGCCTACAGCGCGCACTACACGGAGGCCGCGGATGCCGAGCTCGCCTACTACCAGGATGATTGGTGGTACGATGATGGCGACTGGTGGTGGCACGATGATTCCTACTCCGACGGCTTCTACGTGGACCCATGGTGGGATGATGGCTCCTACGAAGGCTACGATCAAGTAGCAGCAGCTGCCGAGACCGAGGAACCAGAGAATGTCGAGAAGCTAAAGGAAGCCCAACAAGCCGAACGTATAGCGGAAGGGCTGGCTGCTGAGGCCAACCGGACCTGGTCTGAAGCTCAGAGGGCTACTCAAGCCCTTCGCAAGGACAGGGGCTTTGGAGCCATGGTAGCTCAGCCCGGCGCATGCTTCCTTTGTGGAGGACCTCACTTTGCTCGCGACTGCCCTCGACGTCATCAGGCTGCCTTTGCTAAGGGCTCCAAGGGTGGTTTTCGATCCTCTAAGGGCAAGGCCAAGGGCTACATGAACGAGATGGAGGACGACTACCACATGAACTACTTCAAGGGCAAGGGCAAGGGCAAGAGTAAGAAAGGTTTCTTCATGGATCCTGCCATGGCAATGTGGGCTTCAAAAGGGAAGTCGAAATCCAAGTCCAAGGGCAAGGACCACTACAAGCCGGTCAACGCCTACCAGAGCGAGCTCTTCATGGGTGGCCTCGACATGGTTGCGGAGGCCGCTTCTGCCACGACCGACTCCCTGTCACCGAATGTCGGAATGATCGACTGCGGAGCGACGGCCAGTGCTGCGCCGGAGGCGGTAGTGAAGGGCTTGATTGGTGCCGTCTTGGCGCAGGATCGTAGTGCACAGATCGAGATGGACCAAGCCTCGCGCCCGTACTTCAGGTTTGGGAATGGGCGTTGGGGTCGAGCTCTTTGCAAGGTTCGGTTCAGTAGCTGCGCGTCCGGAAGTTCTCGCCACTTTGCCCTGTACGTGTTGCCCAATCCTTCGGAGTACTACCAAGCCGACTTTGATAAGGGATCACTTGTGCCAGTGCTGATTGGGATGGATCACCTTGGTTCCACCGGAGTCGGGATGATGATAGACTTTGCCACAGGTCTTGCTATGAACACCACGGAATCCATACCATCCATCTATAAGCTGGATAAGAGCAAGAAAGGACACTTTGTTCTCGACATTGTCAAATACCTAACGAATGGAGCACAAGTCTTGGAAGGTCAAGCTCATGTGCTAGTTCGATCGAGTCCTTCTGCGGCATGTGTGTTGGAACATCAGATCATTGAACTTCAAACTGTTTGGTTCGATCTGGCGGCATGTGATCATGAAGTGGATGAGCAGGAGCGTTCTGTTGCTGAAGCTAGGATGTGGCAGCTTTACGGAGCAAGCAGGACGGCTTCAGCGACCTCGGCCGTTGCAGCTCAAGCTTCAATGTGTGGGCCCTCGGCCTATCATTCGACCCCGACTCCTTCCTCTTCGTGCTCCCCAGATGTCGGCGACCTCTCGCCACCTGGATCCGGAGGTGAACGCCATCCTCCAGCAGGCCGCCAAGGCGAAACCAAAGAACAAGGCACAGCCTATCGACCTGAGCAGGGCCCAGAAGATCGATGCACGCGATCCTCGAGCCCAGAAGCAGCAATGGCCGTGCCTGGGCAACCACACCCCAGGCCCAGCCAAGGGCAACATGCATGGCCAGTGGATGCACTGTCAGGTCTGCGACGTGCGTCTTCTCTATGTGCCTCGCCACGGCTCGTCGGGTCAGAACACCCAGTGCAAGAATCCGGAGATGGTGGCTCGCTGCTTGCGAGAACTTCGCAAGCTGTTGGGCGACAGGCTGCCGACTGCAGCCCTGGTGCATGCCATGCAGGCCAAGATCGATGCGGAGGAGACCCTGAATGTACTCGTGCGCGACCACTTGGCGACTGGACCTCCGGCAACGGCTTCGACGACTACCAGGCTGCCCAACGACAGCCCGACGACCGGATACCCTGCGACCAATGCCGACAGCCCAGAGTCTCTTGGAAGCTGGGCAATGACGAATCCCCAAGGACGGGAGGTGACACTCGAGGAGGCCTATGCAGCCCTGGACCACCAGCAGTGAACGGATCATCTACGGCATTCGCGACTACGAGCTCTAAGGATCTTCAAGGTGACGTTACCTCGACTACGTGTACGAATTCAAGGGAACTGGCGACAATGAGATCTACGAAGACTTCGCGCGAGACGCCACTCCCGCTCTACGTCGGCAAGAAGCTCATGGGAATGACGGCGATGTTGATGACAATGACTTCCCAGCTTCTTTTACAACTTCACATGGATGGTCGCGATGGACTGTGGGAAATCTCGTGTGCCCCGCACTCTTTGCTGAGCACTGCTGCCCAGGAACACGGTTTGGCTCCTCGCGTGATCAACCTTCCCTCGGGCTACGACCTCTACAAGGAAGCTACTTGGAATCAACTACGTGATCTACGACAACGTCATCGACCACATCGCATATGGATATCTCTACCGTTCTCCAAGTGGAACTCCTGGCAGAACTTGAACTACCACAATCCCAAGGATAGAGAACGATTGGAAAGCTATCGTCGACGTGAGCGACGAATGCTGTGGTGGATGAACGCCTTCGTGAAGGACACACTTCAAGAACTACCTGAGACCAATATCTACTTTGAGTGGCCCGCCAACTGCCATGGCTGGAAACAGCCACCTCTGACTGATTTGGCCACTCACATGGACGACTTGAGTGTACCTTGGCTTCCGTGCCGACTTGATGGATGCAACTACGGAATGAAGAACCCGACCGACAACCTCTTCATCAAAAAATCCTGGTTGGTGCGGACCAACGACGAGATCTTTCACAAGGAATTTCGTTCCAAAGTTTGTCCTGGTTGTCATGGCAAACACAGCGCCGAGGTGGATGTCGACACGGGTTTGGCATCCCACTACCCTTGGCGGATGGTGCAGTCTTTTGTTCGACATTGGTGTAATCAAATGGCACCCCCACGACACCAACGACTTCTTTCTCTACGACAAGATTTACCGCGCCTACGTGATGATTGGGAACCTCAGCGCAATGAGAATCTCTTGGTTGATGGTCAAGAACCTTACTTCATGGAACCAGAGTTTCTCACTGCAGGTGATCTTCAAGGATTGACCTCGACATCCAGTGAACCTTGTGTTCCTGCAGGTGATCTTCAAGGATTGACATCGACATCCAGCGAACCTTGTGCCCCCACAGGTGAGTGTCATGGTGACTTGATCGACTACCACCTGTCCAACAACAACTTCACCTTTGAGGCACTAGAAGAAATTCTATGGAATCACTGGACTACAGCACCAAAGTCCAGCAACAAACATGTTCGATGGCGTGATGATGGTGGTCATGCTTTCCTTCTTGGCGCCTATTCGCACGGCAACCTGAAGGGGATCAGTCGACAGACCTTCAAACACAACCGCCTTCTCAAGTACATCAATGCGTTTCTCCGTCATCATCGACCCCATTCGAGTTGGTCGAGTGTGATGGTTTCCTTCAATCGAGCGGTTTTCCCTCACCGCGACCATCACAACTTGAAAGGTACTGAAAATCACTTGGTGTGCGTTGGACCCTACGAAGGCGGAGGGATCTGGATTTCTGGAACATCACCTACTACCAGTGCTGTGGTTCGACGACGAACTCCAGATGGGCATCTACGACAAGGCTATGTGACGCCTACCCGGAATCAGATTGTTTCCTTCGATCCGATGTGCTGGCATGCTTCACAGCACTGGAAGGGAACGCGGATTGCCATCTCCGCCTACACCACCCGATTGGCTCCCCATCTGGATTCTGAGCAACAACGATGTCTACGACGACTTGGCTTTCCGGCACTGCGACCACCTATACCTCAACCGCATCGAGAGCTTATGCCTGCCACGGTCGAGGACCTACCGGAAGGTGTGGACGAGACGACCTACCGAAGATGGGAAGCGCAGGTTGCCAAGTTCCATAAGGCGGCGGGTCATCCAACGAATCGCAACCTGGCCCGCATTGTGGAGGAAGCTGGCCATGAAAAGTGGAAGGTGGAAGTCGCTCGCCTACATGAGTGTCCAGCTTGTCAGAGCCTGAAACCTGGAGGGACGAGTTCAGGACAGGTCCCACCTGCCACGACGCATGCTCTCTACCCAGCGTGGCATGCTGTGGGCATTGATGCGGGCGAATGGGTTGTACCCCATCAGAAGACGAAGGTGAAGTTCCTGGTGTTTGTGGATGTGACGACGAAGCTGCGAATTGTGCAACCTCTCCACGTGTATGACTTCTTGGCCATGAAGACCGAAAGTGCGGAGGAAGTCACTGCTGCATTCACAGACAAGTGGCTGGCCCTCTTTCCAAAACCCAAGATCCTTCTGATGGACTCAGCGAAAAGCTTCGCTTCTGAAGCCTTCCACGACTTTGCCAGCAACCTGAACATCCACGTTCACTACATTGCCGAGAAAGAACATTGGGCCCATGGAACAGTGGAGGCGGTGGTACAGGACCTCAAGAGTACGGCATCAGCTATCCAGCTGGAGGATCTAGAACAAGATCCCAAAATTACTCTTCAGCTAGCAGCTTCAGCCCTCAACTCCACCGAGTACACCGCCGGCTTTTCTGCTCACCAATGGGCTTTTGGCAGAAACTACGACGTGACGGACGAAGACGTGAGGACCTACGCTCTTAGTGACTACCCCGGCGAGTTCCTCAAGCTGGTGACGGCCCGACAAAAGGCCGAAGCGGTGGCTACACGAACCCGAGCTCAGCGAGTTCTCTCCAAGCTGGGCAACTCCTCTGTTCGACAGCCACTACGGTCGTTTTCACCCATGGATCTGGTGAAGATTTGGAGAAAGGTCTGGCCCAAGGAACAGTTCAAGGGACCACGCGGCGGTCTCCGCATGTCTGGCCGACCTCATTGGATAGGGCCTGGCCGTGTGATCTTCTGCGAAGTGGTTCCCCATCAAGAAGGAGAAGATGCCAGGCGACATAGATGTTGGGTCCTCGTGGGCAAGCAGATCTTTCGATGCTCTGTGCACTCAGTGCGGCCGGTCACTGCCACTGAGCGCTTTCAGTTTGAAACATCGGGAGAAGAACAGGTTCACCAGTGGAAGACCTTGAAGGACATTGTTCCCCAACGCGAGTTCGTGGACCTCACTGATCAAGAGCCTGGACATGAGGAGACCGAGATCCCCAATCTGCCTTTGCAGCCTGACTCGAGTACCATGGTGGACCCGCCGACCAGACGGGTCCGAGCGAAGACTACGCCTACAATGCCGCGTGTGACCGCGACGACGGACGATGATGAGACTGGCAATGTACCATCGACCTCATCTACTACGAGACCGAATCAGGACGTCAATGCCTACGACATGCCAGCTCAAAAGAAACCTCGACAAGATGATTGGGTCGAACAGCTTCATGCTGAAGCACAACAAGAGATTGATCATGATCTCTTTACGTGTCTTGACTCGATTGATGATGCTGTGAACTGCTTCAAGATTGAGTTTGAGGTTGGTGATTTGTCCAATCGTCAGAGGAAGATGCTGGAGAGGAATCCCGTGAGTTTCATGGTCAAGAAGATGCGTGATTCTGAAGTTGTTTTGTCGAGACTGTCTCCGGCTGAACGGCGACTCTTTGAACGAGCAAAGACCAAGGAGGTAGAGTCCTTCCTTAAGCACGAGGCCGTTCGCAAGTGCTTAGACCACAAGGAGATTCAGCAGGCCTTCGACACGCAACGCATCATACGTGCCCGTTGGGTCCTTACCTGGAAGCCGATACCACCGGAGGACCGGGCAGCTGCTGTACGCGATGCCCAAGGCAATGCAAAGACGACACATACTTCAGATGGCCTCAAGAAGGCCAAGGCACGGATCGTTCTTCTTGGCTTTGAGCACCCCAGTTTGCTCGACAGCAAGTTCAAAACAGCATCTCCCGTACAAAGCACTCTTGGCAGAAACCTCTTGTATGCCAAGGCCGTGCACGAACAGTGGCCCATTGAAGGGCTAGATATCAGCACGGCATTTTTACAAACAATGCCGACTGAGGCCGACCGCGAGATTTGGACCTATGGAGTCGAAGAACTACGAGAAGCCCTCGGCATCGGCACGGAGGGCATCATGCGCATCTTAAGGAATGTGTACGGAAGCACTACTGCTCCCCGAGGTCTTTGGCTCGATCTACATCGCAAGTTGACCGACCTCGGTGCCCAGGCTGTGTTAGGAGAACGATGCCTCTGGATTTGGCTGTCACGTACCCAAAAGGACGGGAACCAGCCTAGAATGATAGGCGGAATGGGTGGTCATGTGGACGATTTTCATCGAACAGGAGACCGACAGTCTTCAGAATGGATGGAGATTGTTGACAAGGTCAACCGTACCTATGAGTGGGGCATGATCAAAAAGGATTCCTACCGCCACGCCGGCACGGACGTGACGACCAAGGTCGATGAGAACGGCTTCAACAAGTTGGTGGTGGATCAGGACTACTACATCGAGACGCTCCAGGACGTGAACATACCTGTTGATCGTCTACGTGGTGTTGGCACCCTCATGCCAAAGGAGATCGAGGCATGCAGAACAGCACTGGGAGCTCTTCAATGGCTAGCCGTCCAATCACAACCTCAGCTGTGCTCTCGATGTAACCTACTTCTCACCGAACTGGTTACCACCAAATCAATGGCCACGGCATTGGAAATCCAAGGAATGATCGCTGAAGTCCGAGCCCAGTCTTTCAAGCTTGAGTTTCGGAAGTTCCCCGATGCACATCATTGGAGTGACATCGTCTTTATCTCCATGGGCGACCAGGCACACTCCAACCGACCAAAGGGAGACTCCACTGGAGGGATGCTTACCCTTCTGGCAGGACCTGGCTGCTTAGATGGAAAAATGTGCCCCATGACACTGATTGGCTGGCGCACGTGGAAACTCAAGAGAAAAGCGATCGGGAGCAACGATGCGGAGGTACAGTCCATCCTGGAGGCCGAGGACCAGAATTTCAGAGCTCGTCTACTCTGGAATGAGCTCAACGGCGGAGCCGGACGACATGAACATCGAGCGCTACGGCATGATTTGGTGGAACAAGTGGAGAATCAGATCCTCCACATACGTGGCATCTTGTGCACCGACAGCAAGGGCGGATACGATGCAGTGGAGGTGAATGAATCTCCGTTGCTTGGCTTGAGCAACATGAGGGCCGCCTTACAAGCCTTCCAATTGAGGGACAATCTGCAGCGCTCAGCATGTCAACTTTGGTGGCTTGCTTCGGACTACGACTTAGCTGACGCCCTCACCAAGAAACGAGCAGAAGCCAGACAAGGACTTCTTCGATTTCTCGCTTCAGGAGTGTGGGCCATCAAGTATGATCCCAACTTCGTCAGTGCCCGCAAAAGCAAGCAGCGTGGTGGCGGTGCTTTACGTGATCATGATGAACACCTTCGTGGCGATGGCATGTGGCTTGACGTCCTACATGATTTCTTCTTTTCACACGGTGACCCCGATGTGCAGCTGAGCTCTTTTGGGGGTTGATGCAACAGTGTAACTCCGTCAGCTGCACATGTACATGTCTGCCCCTCAGCTTTCGCTCGAGAGGGGCCCCTTTTCAGGAGCAGCTTTACGTTAGCTGCTTGAGCCACGGATCGCGCCCTGCGCGCGTCGACAAAAGGTTTCGAGCTCTGTGCTCGTTGTGAGCCCGATCTTGACTGTTCTGTGCGACTTCAGCTGCATAAACCCTCAACCCTATATCCCTATACCCTACCCTCTAAACCCCAAACCCTGTAGTCCTAAAGTATATGGGTGGTTGTCAAAATTATGGTCCACCCTAAATGATAGGTGCCGTATGATATTAAGAACCCCAAAAAGGGGCCCTAATTTTGAGAACCACCCATAACCCTAAACCCTACCTTAACCCTGAATAACCTACCTTTTTAAGGTTCCTTCTTATGATTTCCTTATATAAGTCCTTAAAACGGTAGGTTCTTCAGGGTTAAGGTAAACCCTAAACCCTAAACCCTCCCCGGAGACCCCAATGGCGCGCCTTATGGTCATTATTATTCGTGGGCATTTAGGGCCCTAAGCCCTAAACCCCTAAGCCCTAAACCCCTAAACCCTAAACCCTGAACCCTAAACCCTAAAGCCCTAAACCCCAAAACCCTAAGCCCCTGAACCCTAAGCCCTAACCCCTAACCCCTAAGCCGTGAGCAGCGGTCGCAACCCACAAGCGCCTGCAACTCCAGATCCCCCTCGTCGGGCCACAGGTCAGTCAAGACCTCCCCGGGCTTCTCGGGTTTAGGGTTAGGGTTTACCTGTAGCCGGAAAGACCTACCTTTTTAGGGTTCTTTATTATGGTTTCTATATATAGTTCCTTAAAAAGGTAGGCCTTTTCGGCTACAGGTAGGGCTTATCGGGTTCAGGGTCTAAGGTATAGGGCTTTGAGGGTATAGGGATTTAGGGTTTCGAGTCTCTTTCTTGGTCGATTTTGGCTTTCTTTGTGAACCCTCTTCTCCTTTGGCAGTCAGCGTCTGGAAAACCCTAAGTTGGGGGTTTAGGGTTCAAGGTTCCTTTCTCTGTCAGCTTGTGAAGGCCTGATAATCTAAGTGTGGTAAGAGGTATTGCGTACCTGTTAGGGTTAGAAGGCTTTTGGGCTTGATGGGTCTAGGGCTTCGGGGTTCATTATGGGTTTCAGGCTTCAAGACAACAGCGAGACAAGCTTAGTACTTGCGCTCTTCCGACATTCGCAGTTCGCCAACATGCCACGCTCTGGGTTTCTGCTAGCGGCTAGCGCTATCGCCACTTGACTTGGCTTGATTTTAACGCCCGGCTCGAAACGATCGCTGCATCCATACCAACGGCAGCAGCAGCAGCAGCAGCAGCAGCAGCAGCAGCGGCAGTAAGTTTTTAAATGCCGGGCACTTCCGTAGAACCAGGCAATCATGATAATGATTACTTTCTAGTACTATGATGTTTATTCTGACTCTGACTAGTTCTGAAACTTATTGCTATCATAAAGAGCCCACCTCATCCTCGAGCTTCCTTCCCAAGATGGCGAAGGAGAGGCGGTAAGCAGAAACCTGGAGTGGCTCACTCAGCTGGCTCGCCAAGTCCTCGGATTGAAATGATGGAAAACGAATGATCAGACTTTCATCTTAGGTACTGCCCCCCCATACAGTAACAGTCTATAACAAGGCTTCTATTAAGGTCCTGATACATCTACATTATGAGTAGTTATCATTCAACTTTTACTGAGTGGGGGCAGCACCCAACTTTCGTTGAATCGTCTTATCCTTCCTCCCTCCATGATACTCATTATTCGAGTATTTGGATCAGCAACAGCAGTACCCGCATATCATGCTGATGATGAAGATATTCATGATGTAGGTGACCCAGGGTCGACCCTGCCCTGAACCACTAAAGCCCCAGACCACCCCAAACCCTCAACCCAAAACCCGAAATCCTAGACCCTAAATCCTAAACCCTAAATTAAATCCTATACCTCCTAAATCCTAAACCCTAAATTAAACCCTATACCTCCTAAATCCTAAACCCGAAGAGACCTCTAAGGCATTCCCTCGCGGCTGTGGAAAAACCGGAGAGACTTCCGAAAGCAATTATATAATATATGATATATTATATAAATTATATAATGCAAATATTATACATAATATACAAGATAAAATATATGATACATAACATATGTATCATATAAGATATACAATATACAATATATAACATAAAATATGTAAGAAGCGAGGCTCCGCTGCTTTCAGCTCCCAGGCCTCTTCCCTCGGCAACTCCTGGGTTCGTGCTTGGGGGAAATCTGGGCTTTAGGCTTTAGGGTTTAGGGGTTCAGGGGTTTAGGGTTTAGGGGTCTAGGGGTTTGGAATTTGGGTTTTTAGTAAGGCTTCAGGCTTCAGCTTTCGTTTGCAAGTCTTGAAAATTGAACCTGAAGAAAGCAACGTATGTATCAGATATGAATTTCTATGGCAATGGCCGCTGGAGAGTAATTCCTGAAGAAAACCCTAAACCCTATACCCTAAACCCTATAAGATTACACCCTAAACCCTATACCCTATAATATTACACCCTAAACCCTATACCCTATAAGATTACACCCTAAACAAGGAAGACCAGGTCTCCAGGACGCAGTCACCACTCAGCTTGTGCACGCGAAGCTGCCTTTCTGACGGGGTGTCGTCTGCCCCTTTCCCTTCTCGCGACATGACTCAGAGATCCCTTGGGCCGTTCCATGAAGTTGTAGTGGTCTTTTTGAAGTCTTAGCCGAGAGCTCATGAGAACTTGGTGCTAGGATCCATAATGCATAGCAGACTCTTTCGACAACAGCTTCGGCACGTTCGAATGCAGCGTTACCGAGTCTAGAAGGATTATTCTGCCATGTCAACGGCTTGAGTGCGGACCAGCTGCAGCAGCTCCCGGGCACTGCGGAACTAATGTTACAGAAACTTATGTGTGTGTATGTGTGCATGCATGGAGAATGTTGAGCAATGCGCACTTGGACACATGAGGTGGCAAGGAAGAGCAGCACCACAGCAGGCTTTTTGCATTGACTTCCAAGTGCCCTCTCGCCATTAGCGAGGAGGCCTGGCCTCAACTACAAGACAACAGGCTGCCGCTCAGGCTTTAGGGTTTCGGGTCTCAGGTTTACGGTTCAGGCGTAGGTTTCGATTTTGGGCTATCTCGTCAAATTAGGGCTGCCGCATCAATCACGCGGTTTTGAGTTGAATCCGTTTAATTCTCCAGATCGTCCCTAAACCCTAAACCCTAAACCCCACTCCAGAGTTTAGGATTTAGGGTTTGGGGTTCCGACTACCCCACAAGCATCATCAAAGACTCATCGTGTCCTTTTGGAGACCTGCAGGCCACTGCGGGTCACTGCAAGGCACAGCAGCATACAGGCATTCCGGGTGTCTAGGTGTACTGATGACTTATGGATCTAGTTAAGTTCCTGCTGTCTTAGTTCCTGGGTGCCAAGTTTATTGGTGTGGTCTTCTCTTGCTTGCACTTCATTCACGCTTCTACTGCTACCCAGATCCCAGGTCAAGGCCTGCAGACTCACAGTCGGCAGTCGCCACGGTCGCCGGCGGCGCAGCAGAACGTCCTATAAGCGTGTTTGTGGCGTGGGGTGGGGTGGATTTTTGGGTCAAAGTCTCGGGGGAGAGCCGCTTGTATGGGCACACAGTGTAGGGTGCAGGGGTCAAGTCCCATTCGTCTGTGCAAGCTTGTTTCAAAGGTTTCGATGTTCATGGCGTCGATCAGCTCGCAGCCGCACCCCCCCAGGCAAAATTGCGAGACAAACCAGGCTTGAAACAATCTGCTTAGGGTTGAGAGCTCAAGGTTTACCTGAATAATCAGGAACCCTGGATCAGGTAGGATCAACTGAGCCTCGGCATGTCGGGCCTTGCCGATCGTCTCCTGGCTTTTTGCAGTTCTCCTCTCAGCTGGGATGTTTGGCTACAGGAAGAAGGTCTGCTACGGGCTGCCGGTGCTCAAAAAGCACACTCGTGCAAGTAGCAAATGCTGCACTGCATCGAACACCAAGCTCTAAGCCCTACACCCAAGCCCAAGCCCTGAGTCCTACATTCCGTAGATATTGCATATTACGAATCATAATCATTAGGTTAACATATACTAGATGGTGTGTATATATATATATATATATATATATATACATATATATATATATATGTACAGCACATATTGTGATTCAAACACTATATATGATATGTTAGACGTTAAATATTGCATCACATCACGCCGGTACCCCGTTTCCTTCGTGAGCACATGGGGCGCAAAGCTTTGGATGAGGACAGCGCCGAGTGGTGCCGTGAGGAGGATGGCAAGGACCTGTGTCAGTCCAGGTAGCAGCAGCCAGTAGTAGCAGGCGACAATGCCAAACAAAAGGAACTACAGCTGACCGGCTAGTAGCACAATGTTTGTCCCTTCTCCGGTTCTCTTCGGTTGTCATGAGGCAACTTGCACCGAGCAGAAAGTATCAGGGTACTGCATTACTATGGGAAACCCCTGCAGCAAGCCTACCGATTGCGATTGCGACGTAGAAGCTGCAGTGGAACCGAAAGACTGAAGATGCCGCAGATGCAGCTTGGCAGCAAAAGGAATCAAGAAGACCAAAAAACAAGAAACCAGGTGAGAAGCATGTCAAGACATGACCGTCAAGGAATTCACGTGCAATGTTGGAGAACTTTTTCACGGGCGCACCAAAGCACCACTAGGCCGCTAGGCTATTCGAGGCTATGCGGCTACTCATCAAGCCCGGCATCGAGCTCATGCGCTCTACCCTCGATGTCTGCTTCCAAGACCTGCTCATCGGCTCCCTGCAACTCTTTGTAGACTTCCAGAGTGACTTTGTCCTTCTGCATGCTCCTGCAACCCTAAAACCTTAAACCCCTAAACCCTCAACCCCTAAACCCTAAACCCTTAAACCCCTGAACCCCGAAACCGGCCTAAACCCCTCCACTTCTAAGCCCTGTAAACCCTAAGCTAAGCTCAACCCTAAACCCTAAAACCCTACACCCTAAATCCGTAAACCCTAAACCCTAAATCCGTAAACCCTAAAACCCTAAACCCTAAATCTCTAAACCTTTAAAGCCCTGTAAACCCTAAGTTCATGCTCCTGCAAACTTCGAGGCTCTCTTCCTGGCCGACCAGGGCCTCTCCCTGCAAGTCCACCAACTTCCGAGCTTCGAATTCTTGGTCCTTCCGGGCATTCACTCTCTATAGAGAATATATATATATATATATAGATATAGATATAGATATAGATATAGATATAGATATAGATAGATAGATAGATAGATAGATAGTTATATATATATATATATATATATGTATTAGTACCGTAGTAAAACCACTACCAGGTTATATTACATTATATGAAAGGATATTGTACAATACATATACATATACATATATATATATGTATATATATATATGTACATGTACATATATAAGTACACATACATAAAGATAGATAGATATAAGAGATGCTGCGAAATCCTCAAGTCTTATGCATTCTTATGCCTTTTTCGCTCTCCGGAGTCCTTGGAAGTGCTTAGGATCCGTCGCACCTCTTCTTTCAAGGACGCGGTCTCTGTGGGGCCCAAGGTACACGAGTCTTTATGGCCCAAATCCCGGTAGCGCAAGTGATTCTTCTGAATGAAGCTTTCAAGGTTGGGACTGAGGATGCGTCGGCCACGTTCCATGAAGCCCGTCCCGGCACACCACGCACCTGTGTCAGTGAAGTTCGCGGCAAGCTTACGTGTCTGTGATCCGGACATCCTTGTCACATTCCGTTCGCCACTGACCAAATCCGCCAACACGAAGGCACCCTGATTGTCTTCACCAGGCACGGAGAAGAAGTCTTCTGAGAAAGGAGGTGGTCGCGCTGGCATTCGCCCATTGAGGCAAAAGACGCCGCAGTAGTCTGCAGCAGAGAAAACTGTCGCTACAAAGGCTTCAGAGGTTCCAATTGAAGTGTAGCCCTCCTTCACTTGCCTGGGTTCTTCTTAAAGGACTTTAGGGTTTAGGGTTTAGGGAAAATAAGGCAACGCAATAAAGACACCCATATTGTTTACTGCAGATTCCTACTCTGGTAACTTATAAATGGAATCCCTTAAACAAGAACCCTACTATAGATCCCTCATAGAGATCCGTTTAAAGGAACCCTAAACCCTAAACCCGTAAACCCTAAACCCCTAAACCCTTTAAAGGAGCCCAGTTACTCATGGCCTCGGTAGATGCCCTTCAAGCCGTTGGATTTTAAGAACTTCTCCGCGACGTCAAGGCCAAACTTTTGCAAGCCCCCCCCCCGTGGAGACGGGACGAAGCCAGTCCCTGTATGAGGATCGGCCCAAACCGTGCTGAGCTCGTTAGTGTGACGTATACAGTTGCTAAAATCACCAGCCACCCCGGAACAGTGTTCCACAAAGTCCGGGCTTAGGCCACCATGCATAGCCATGAACTGTCCGGGCACCACGGCCACATAGGGCAGTGCCGTCACCACTGAGCTGATGTCATCAGAACCGATCTTGCCATGGAACTTGTAGTGGAGCTCGTCCTGATATATTCCAACATTTACCATCGAAGGATATACTAGAGCCGAATATGCAGCGGAGACGTATGATATAGGGGCCTTAATACTTGGAACAGGGTTTTGGGGTTCCTTATTACTATCACTATAGTATAATATCCCCCCCAAACCCTATACTAATTATTAAGGCCCCTACCCTAAACCCTAAACCATTACTGCTTACTCACCCTTCTCCTCAAATCCGTAGAAGGACCACATGTCAGAAGACTCGTGGTTGCCTTGCAAAAGGACCAGGCCTTGGGGACATCGCACCTTCTCGGCTTTATGGTTTTTGGGCCTTTAGGGCTTTAGGGCTTAGGGGTTTAGGGCTTTAGGGCTTTGGGGGTTTAGGGCTTTAGGGGTTTAGGGTTCTAGCGCTTAGGGTTGTAGGGTTTTTGGGCCTTTAGGGGTTTAGGGCTTTAGGGGTTTAGGGTTCTTTTTTTTTTTTAAAGTGCAATGGGGCCTTTTTCTGCAGAGGTCCAGCCGGTTATTCGGCTTACACTGAAAACAGATCTCATACGGATCTGGCAAACACCTCACAACTGTCCTGCGACTTGAACTTGAGTAACCCCTCTCAGAAGACCTTCCGGCGCAGGACTTCCTAGTCGACCACTAGAGCGACACGACGACGAGCAGAGGAGTCAGCAGCACGACGGGAAGTCGGAGGATTTTCCAGAGCAACGTTCATCCCAGCATGGTCATGCGAACCACTCACCCCAGACAAAGAACTAGACGTCGGAGGCAGAGACCTTGTGTCAGACCCTGTATTGCCCACATGAACCCCAGGTTCAGCACGCGGAGGAGGATCACGACTGCGACTTCGGTCAGGTCGGCGTCCAACACGACGACGAACACCATGTGGCACAGCTCCAACAACTTCTGCAAGTTCTGCATGTGCAAGTAGTCGAGGAGGAGGGCGAGGTTGCCGTAGTCGACGACGATGATTGACCATGTTCCGTCGCGGTACACTCGGCAGGTTCATACTTGGAGGTAGATGCGTCGCTGCCTGGTTTTCATGTGTTTGTACCAGGAAGAGTTCTTCATCATCTTCCGCAGGCCACGAGCCTTCAGGCACATCCATATCCGCCGCATCATGTAGTAGTCTTGCATGATCTCGCCAACCTCGCCGTCGTAGACCGACCACCACATGGCGCGCCATCCCCGGTAGAGCATCCCAGAGCCCAGACAACGTCAGGGGTAACTCAGGTTGTAGTAGGACGGCTGGCGAAGTGACCACTTGAGATGTACCCGACGGTGAACTACCACCAGCATGAGGAGCCTCACGTGTAAGGCATTGCCAAATCCGTCCCTCCATACTGCGGCTGTTTAGAGCCAAGGAGTTAGTAGGTTGCGGAACCCAAAGTAAGATCTCCTCAATGGCAATTCCCAGCAAGAATGCCAAGCGCTGCATTCTTCGTTGTCGAGCTTGTAGCCGGTGGAGCAGGTCAAGGATGTCGGCCACATTCGCAAACACCAGTTCCCTATTCACAGCATCCCGTACCACATCCTCACAAAGGATCGTAGATGTAGTAGTGGTCGAGGACACAAGGCACCCCATATCAACCAGGAATACCGTGGTGGTGGTCGTGTAGCTCGTGATCGCAAACGTGGACTCCGACGAACAACTTCCCGAGATACTCACCTGGATTAGGAACAGGGGCTCCATATCATCCTCATACCAGGTCGTGGTGGTCGTAGTTGAGGAAGAAGACAATGATGCACCATCTTCACCCCGCGGATGCTCCGTCCATAGTCCAAGAAGCTCACCCGCAAGTGCTTGCTCTACCGACCCATGTACAGGCACAGGTGGGTCCTCCATGACTCGTCGCGGTCTGTTGACTGGCTCCGGTGGTGGCGGGCCACGTGGAGGTGTACCCGGCCTCGCTGGCAAGACACAGACCAACTGCCCATGTTCATTGTAGGCAGTTTCCGAGTGGAGGGATTGTAGATCGCTGGACGAAGCGCTGGCCAACGATCCTGGGCTAGCTCTACTGCGGCTGCGACTCCTTGAGCGAGCACCGTCAGATTCAGAGGCACTCTCATGTACATGTTCTCCTGAGCCAGCACTTGGCAACACAACAACTGGCCCAGGCGCTTCAGTGACGACCGAAGATTCCGCCGGGGGTGTGAGGATGGAAGGCCCAGCTGCATCAGTCGTCACATCCTCACCAGCCTGAAGTCGAACTTGTAGTTGGCGGTCAAAGTTTTCTGCAAACGTTGTGGCCAAGTTGCGCGCCCAATTGAAGAGATTCCAACGCTGCATCTCACTGGACGGTACTCGCTGTAACGGGAAGAAGCCTCGAGGTTGTAGCCGTCGCACGAGTACATCATATATGGCTTCAACAACACTCAGACCATCTTCAACGCGGTTGAGGAGACGACAAAGTGCCCAGCGAGCTTCGGGACCACGGTCTTGATCATTGTGAGCATCGAGGGCTTCCAAGAAGTTTTCGAGCCGAGTCACCCCAGCAGCATCAACACCTGCCTCTTGTAGTCTGGCTCGCTCAGATCCCGTCATCTGCATGAGCATAACTTCATCCGTCATCGCAGCAGCAACATTCGGTTCCAAGCCAAAGTTGGGCAAGACTGGTGTAGTAGACGAGGAGGTCGTGGATGTCCAGGTTTCCCAGCTCCATGATGAAGACGACCACGATGGAGACCACGTTGCCCAAGTCGACGAGTCCCAAGCAGAGTCATCCCATGTAGAAGGCGAAGTCCACCAAGAATCATCCCAGGCTCCTTGTTGCTGAGACTCCTGATTCCACCACTCTGCATGCCATTGCTGACCAGACCAGGGGTCCCAGTCTGTCTCCACATGTGCAGGTTGCTCAATGGCTGGCCTCGTCGATTCACGAAGTTCATCCTCGATCTCACCATGGTCCATTTCCACCACTTGTTCAGGAGCCGGTTTGCCAAGGAACAGTGCCATGATTTTCGGGTCCACGACCGGTTTGGGGACGCCATCCTCAGACTCTTCTGCAATTTGTTCCATCGCAGTTTGGCGAGCTGCCTTCTCCGCAGCATATCGGGCAAGCCAGGCGGGTTTCCAATTGCCTGCGAGATACGCCTGGACTCTGCCTTGTTTGCGAGCGAGGCGCTGTGGTCCAAGTCCCCCGCGATGAGATCTTTGTTCCGAGGCTGACCGAGGGCGCGCATGCCAGATGCCATGTCGCCAGAAGCCAGTAACATCATCATTGCAGGACGACGAAGAATCGACCCCAGACGTATCGGCCTCCGCACCGGACTGAGAGCTTCCCGCCGTTGTGGAGGTGTCATCTCCCACTGCGTTCATGCTGGCCCAGACCTGGAAGGTGTCCTCATAGAAGCTCGTGGCCTTGACCGTGGGCGCACCATCAACCTCACCAGTTCCAGTAATCACAAACAGAGGTACAGGAGGGGACGAGGTATCAGCATTCGGTCCAGCTTCTGTGTCTCTTGCAAGGGACTCCCTCTTCTCTCTTGCACGATTACGCACTGTGCCATTCGGGTGATGCCACCTGTCGATACCAGGCCGAGATCGACCAAAACGCGAGGTCACCCCAGCAGAGGAGGAAGAAGAACTCGCCACATCAGCATCACCCCGACCATCACCAGGAAGCACAAGAGTGGGATCAGCAGGAGTCACCCCTTCAGTATGGGAGGCTCCATTCTGATTGGAACCTTCGATCAGGAGAGTGGCAGGGTCTCGTCCATGCGGAAGTGATGTCATGGCCTCATTTTGAACAGAAGAACGTCCTCGAAGGCCACGACGATCACGTACTTGTTCAAGCCAATCTTTCTCCACAGTCTTCTCGACGTCACCACCACGGTCTTCGAAAGGGAGAGGCAGTTCTTCAGGTACAGGAGCCAGACAAGTAAAAGTGGTAACACGAGGGTCATCATCAGCCGGCATTTCGAATTGCAGAGCCCAACTAATCTCCTCATCCAGTCGTACTTGTGCTGCAACATCATGATTTGGACCACACCCGGGTGTTTGCCAGGATGAGGAGGAAGCACTACCCGAAGCACTCGGGGGTGATTCCAAGTGCACCAAGCTTGTCCCCGACAAAGTGCAAGACGACATAGTCCGTGGCCAACTCGTGCAGGTAGAAGCCAAAGAGGTCGCGCAGGAAGTCGATGTAGCCGACGGCGGCGAACTTGTCCACGATGTAGAAGAAGAGGAGGGGAGCGTTGCCGGGAGCGAGGGAGGATCCTGGATAACCAAATTCACCCCGATAGATGACATAGGTTGCGCCGTCGGAACAGATGAAGAGGCCGCAGTCGAGCAGGACGGCCACTCCGACACAGTCTCCTCCCAGCTGGCATTGGATTGTTGCGGTACTCCAAAAGTATCATCTTCCCAGAACGACGCAACGTGCTCCGCAATCTCAGCTTCAGTCCACGGCCGAAGGGGGTCAGGTTGAGGACGATCAGCATCTTGGACAGCGTAGAATCCTCGAAGCGCGAGGGAAACAAGTGCGAACACTTTCCAAGGAGCGCCCGACACCATGAGTGCACGGAGAGGAGGAAGGCAGTCCGCAGGAGTTTTCGTTTCGGAGCCAAACCTTCGCAGTAGGCGTGAAGTGTCAACGTAGGTATCCGATAGACATTGCATGCAAACATGATCTTCAATTTGACGAAAGATGTCGGAGGCAAGCAGGAACAGATTTCAGGCTAGTCGACGGACAACATGTAGTTCAGGAGAACTTGCAAGCGTGATCACTCTCCGAGCTATCCACCCCGTCAAAGGCATCATTCGTCACAGAGCGAACATCACTCTAGTTTGCAAGGGCCAATTGGCGGCCACTGCTCCACTGTACGTCCCATTCAACAATGTACTTATCTCTCAGTCCACTCCAAGTCACCCTGTTTTGGGCTGCGACATGCCAAAGGGTGCCACAACTATCAGCTAGTTGACGCTCGGTGTTCGAGGCATAGAAGTGACATGGATGGCGAAGGGAGCAAGATCTGCTGAGCTGTTGTTGCTCACGCCACCAGGCGGTATTCCGCCACAAGACAATCCTCATAGGAGCACAAGCACGTGCATGGCCAGCAACAATTTCGACCCTACGTGCCCAGTGTCCATGGAGCGTGTGTTGCAAGGTGAGTACCCTCTCAGACCACCGTGCCACATGGTTAGAATGGAGCCAAAGTCTAACGAACCGCATGCTTCTCTGATTCCACTCCACCCATGATTCATCACGGACACGTTTGAGCCCGAAGGCAGTCCTACAGGTGTGAATCTGCAAGACGTTGAGGCTATGCAAATCATCCCGGCTCCAATGGAGAGCTCCTGCAGTCCAGTTAAACTGGGATTCAATCAAAGTCCGCATCATCGAGCTTTTGGAAAGCCACCCACCAGGAGCACAAAGAATGTCTTTATGAGCAGCTGCTGCATCTCTTGCTCGAGCGATGATCTCCCGAGCCTGTTCTGATGGATCTCTTGACAATGAAAAGCCCAAGCCAAGGACTTTCAGAGACTCGCCGGCATTGGCGATCCTATAAACATTGTCACCCACCTTCGCGCATCTCGCCCCAGTGTAGTGACAATTCGCAACAATTTTGGTCTTCTCTTTTGCAAGCGTGAGGCCAGCCTGACGAAGGCATCGATCAACAACACCAATTCGCTTACACAGACGAGCAAAGTCAGTCTCAACAATAAACACATCATCCTGATAGAAGAGGAGGTCAATGTCGAGGCCCTCAATTGGCTTACCGAGTTCACCCCATCTTCTGCAGTGAACCAGTTCTGAGAGAAGGGCATCGATGACAAGACCAAAAAGCTCTGCACTCTCAGGCGCCCCCTGTTTGATCCCATTATCAGGGGAGAGTTCAACCCGTCTCCCTCCCGGGGCAACTCCCACCAGATGATGTACAGCAAGTTGTGCAAGCAGGTAACGTAGTTCAGTGCTCACCCCTTTGCTGCGAAGACGCCGAAGTAGAAGGTCGGCGACTTTGTATCTATCAAGCTTATCAAAAGCACCGGCCACGTCCAGCTTGCAAAGGATCAGCGGATGACACCACTCTTTGGTGATATCCCTGAGTCGAGACATCGCCCCAATCAGGTCAGCGGCCTGTCTCCCTTTGCCGCAGCAACTGATAGATGATCCCCGTCGCATCAAAGGTAAAGCTCTGGCACAGACAAGGCGATTGACTAGTTTGTGGAAGGCAGACGAAACGCAAATGGGGCGGAGATCCGACGCACTGCGAGGTAGCTTACATTTCGCCAGTAAAGCGAGGAAGCTTGTCTCCCAGCTATGGGGAAGTTCGCGGCTCTCAACAATGTGATTGATGAGCCCAAGTAGGCGAGGTCCCAGTATCTCATGAGATGCCATTTCACGCAGTAGATGCACACCAACTCCATCCGGCCCAACCGCACTTTTTGCTTTCATGTCTTGAAGCTCGGTGCGAACATCCAGAAGAGTAAAAGGGACAAAGAAGTCGTCTTCCGCAGCCTCAGAAATGATGGAGCGTAGTTGTTCACCCCATTCATCAGCACTGCGACCAGGATGGCACATCTTCCCACGTAGGTGATCCGCGATGTCTTTGGCAAGGTCGCGGGAGCTGTTCTCTGCTAACAAATTGCCCCACCATCCACGCTTGCGCTTCTTCTCGTTCTGTAAGAGACGATATTGTTCCCAATCACCCCCAAGGATGCGAGCGAGCCTACAAGTCGACCAATGTCGTCGATGTTGTTTTCGCAGACGATGAACCCGTTTCCAGTCGGCTGGAAGAGAGGATCCTTTGGCAGTTCTAATCGCTTGTTTGATCTCGTCGCTGTCTTGGTATTTCTGTGAGAGCCGGGGTTTGGTGTGTGTTCTGGCGAGCTCAATGACATCGTCCTCATCGATGAGCTCAACATCTGGCAGCTCCTTGCACACCCAGCGCGGACGAGAGTCGTTGCCCCAAAGGCTGCGACTAGGCCCACCTGCCACGACAATGTCACCCATGACAATGGCATGATCTGTACCGATGATATGTCGCCTGTCTGGTTCGATGACAGCTGGGAGAACATGCAGAAGGCGAGTGAAGAGCATGTCAATTTGGCGCCCGGATCGGCTTTCATCCCGTGGATAGTGGGTGGCAATGTTTCGATCAACTAGGCGAGGAGGCGATGTGACGACTCCATGTTGAAGAAGCTCATGTACAAGCACCTCGAGATTTGAGCTACCCATTCCGTGCTGGAGCGTCTCACCCCCTTCGGTCATCTCCCAGCTCGTAGCTTCATTGGCATCGGCTCCACAAAGGACAGGGAGGTGCCGATATTTGCGAGGGCAAGCTTTGGCAAACTCCAGAGCGGCGGCCTGATAAACACGTGTGGCGACTCCAGTATGGCAATGAACGGACCCTAAGACGACCCGACCAAGCCCATGAACACGCACGACCACCCAGATTCCACGTTCCGTGGCACCCTTCCAGATAACCGAGTCGAACTTGTCAATTGCGACTGCAACCCCAACACCTCTCCACTGTCGAGCATCTCTATGAACAATCCAGTGAAACTCATCTGTGTCGAAGCACCCCCATCCAGTTTCAGAACGAGCGAGCTCCTGCGCAAAGATAATGTTACAATCTTTGCATGCAACGTCGAGAAGTCCTGCAGCTTGTCCTCCCAAATTCCACGTAGCACATCTGCCCCATCTGCGTGTTGCACACGGACCAGGCAAAGTCACCCCAACTTCCTTCGGAACGTTCGGGTCACCATCGGGAGTCGAAGAGGACAAATTCAAGGTGAAACCGTCATGCTCAGAGGATCACAGCTCACGTTCGAAGGCACTCCTGGCATCGTCAGTCGAGCACCCCGCAACTCTCGCCACCGAAGATATGTTCACCCAACCTCCGGAGAGGAGCTGGATCTCATCATCACCCTTCGGTTGGCGATGAGTGGCACTTGCCATTTTCTCGGATCCACACCACACTGTGCCCATGTTCCAGTCACAGTCATAGGCCTCAACCTTGGTGTTCACCCCATCATGCTGGCCAATGTTGTCTTTAGCCAGAGCGATGACAATCCTCCTCGTGAGGCTCACATGGCTGCTGCGCGCGCGGGCTGTCTTGGTCTTAACAAACGAGGCCCACAAGACCTTGTCTTCACCAGACGCTTTCGTACTTGGCAACACATGTTTGATTCGTCCAAGGGCCCGGATGAACTCCCACATGCGGTTCTTGGTCTGTGCAAAAACTTCACCCTCCCGAACGCTAAAACGAAGCATGCCAACTGAGCGTCTCGGCCCGAAGACAAGGATCTTGTCACTGTCAAGGAGAGCTTTCACTTCCGGGATAGCAAGGATCACCCCGAACTCTTCTTCAATGACTGATCGTTTGGTGTCCTGTTGCCACCCCCCAATCACCAAGGTCTTTTTGTCCTCATCAGAAAGTGTGTCACCCCGGTCAGTGGGAGGAGCGACACCGGCGACTTCACCCTTCTTGTCAGGACCACTAGACCCCGAGGGGTGATTGCGAAGATATTCACTCCAAGGATCGGCTTGACCAGCTGCTGGAGCAGGATGTGCTGGGGCGGCGGAGAGAGGCCGAGAACTCACTTCATCCAGCTTGACCTTCATGTTTTTTACCTCAGTGGTGAGTGACTCCAACGCATTGGCCTGTGTTTGCAAGGTCTGTTTTTGCTGTCCTTGATCCTTCTCAATCACCCTCGTGCGCGATTGCAGGTTCGAAATCTCAAAGCTCGACTTAGCCTGTTCTCGTTCAACCCCATCGAGACGACCTTGAAAGGAATGCCACGCTGTTCGCATTTCATTGACGTGGCCGAGTAGCAGGTCCCGGATCTCACGAGCTGTAAGGGGCTTGTCTTCACTCACAAGGGCTCGCTTAGATGGACTATCAAAATCATCATCCGAGTCAGGGACAGGACAAACGTTCGGGTCATCTTTCGCAGCGAGACCATCACGTCGTTTCCTTTTCTCAAGCTTCACTGGCATCTCGACGTCGGCACCTTCGGGTTCAGAACCATCCTCCGCAAGCTCAGTCGGTGATCCAACAGCTCCTGGTAGAACATCACCAATTCCACCGTGGTCAACGTTCATCTCTGAGATATCACCCGGTTGCGTGTCCAGGTTGTCTGCCATCCTGGAGAGGTCACCCCGAGCTCAAAGGTCACCTTCAGCCCGACGAGGAAGAAGAGATAGAAGAGAAGATGGGTGAAGAAGTAGAAGACGCCGAAGAGCAGCAAATGGTGGAACACCGAAGCTTGCAAAGTGTGAGCAAGGACGATGAAGAGCTCCAAGTCGATCGTCACCCCCAGCTCGAGTCAACCACGGAAAGTGAGGCGCCCTCGTTCGCGTACAGCCAGAGAGATACCGAGATGACCAGCTAACCACCCAGCACGATCAGGTAGCCCTCGCGAAGTTAGAAGTCGCCAATGAGAAAGTCTCCCCAGCGATGACCAAGCGGAGAATCAGGTAGAGGAGAAGGGACTCTTCCACGGCCACGGACACCCGCAGGAGGTACACAAGCCGCCCGGCGCACAGGGCGAGAGGCAAGGGAGGGGCCCGAGGCTAATCAAAAGACTGGCAAGGCCTCGAGCACAACAGCTTGAGCCGTAGCCATTTGGGTTCTAGCGCTTAGGGTTGTAGGGTTTTAGGGCTTTAGGCCTTTAGGGTTTGGGTTCTGGGAGAAGAAACTGTGCTCAAGTATATGACTGTATATCCTAGACGCAGCATACTGCAGCATAGCATGTGCGATCAGGCACAACACTATATGCCGTAGTCTGTCTAAATACTCATCAGCCTGTAGACGGTGGCACAGATCTGGTTGCCGCAGCTTCCTATCATTGCATCTCGGTAGTCTAAATTCACGATGTCTACCTTAGGTTTTAGGCTTTACGTTGGATACTGTCCCCATACAGTAACAGTCGAAACTACGGCTACTATTAAGGGCATGATCTATCTAGATTATGAGTATTATCCAACTGTTGCTGAGTGGGGGCAGTATCCAAGCTTTAAGGTTGAGGCAACCTCTGGCCTTGTAGGCGAGAAGAAGCAGAAGCAATTCGACTGCTCTCTCACCCCGATCTAAATAGTCGCCCAGGAAGATGTACTGCATGCGCGGGTCACAGACGAGCAGTGATGATCCATCCAGGCTGCTGTAACCCTTCTCCTGATATGCTTTCCTGGGCGTTTAAGTAACTGGGGAGAAAAGCGTACTTTTTTCATCATAATTCCTCTAAGAAAAATATTAAGCTATGGTACTCCAAAGCCAAGTTGCTTGATTTCCACCAAGTAAGCGATAAGGTTGAAGAGCTGGCCGTGAAGATCTCCGATGATGGCAACATCTTTGACCTCGCCAGAGACCTCTCGGGAAAATCCGTGCCTGCGATGCTCGTCAGTGACCGCCGCCTTGCCGAGCTTCAGGAATTTCTTCACTTTAGGCCACTGTACACCACCACGCTTGCCGATGTACCAGCCATCACGGAGCGGTCCTGACCCAAAACCCAGCCCTTGAAACCCAAAACCCAGAACCCAAATTCCTAAACCCAGAACCCAAACCCTAAAACCGGTCCCTTCTCGAGCTGCTCGATAAAGTCTGCGGCCACTTGTTCCGGGGATTCCTGGGGAATGCAGAGCGGTGAGCCAGGCCCACTCCGTCGGAGGACCTGCACAGCTTGCCCTTGGGACAATACTACTATTATAGTACTCTTCTAGTCCCACTTTAGTACTAGTATAGTACTATTACGGAACGAGAAGAAGTGCGATGATAACAGTAGTACAGCACAGAAGGGACCATCTGCGCTGGAGAAAACACGAAACTCCGCCTGGACATGCTGAGGCTTTCCAGAGTGTACCACTGTACACTTCTCCTCGCAGCCCTGCTCATAACGACCGACCAGGGAACCTAGGGGCCCAAAGTGTGAGAGAACATACCTTTAACGCAGTATACTCTTGCCGAAGTTCCTGCGACACAACATACGAACTCGGGCAACCACAGACACATTTTCAAAAAGCATACCGAAGAAACACCCAAGTGACAATCTTGGAGTTGCCATGTGCCATTCAGCTCGTAGGCTTCATCCGTGCACTTGGCATGACAGCATTGGTGTTGGCAGAGGCCGTCCACGGGCGACTGCAGTTTGCACTGCTGTTCTCCTTTCCCACTCTTCCGCTCAACTTGGATGGTTTTCGCCCCCTCAGAGGCGAAGATTGTGCAAGTCTCCTCGCAAAAAGCGTCTCCCGCATGGTATTGAGGCTCGTGCAGCTTCACCACGCAATCATGTAACTCGACTTGTCTCGCCAAATCGCCTGGGAGATGAAAGCTTGTATTGCCGCACTTGGAAGAGCAACACTTTTGCCAACAGATGTGGCTGCTGTCTTCCCCCACCGCCTCATGGCGAAAAGCAGTCGCCACCTGCGCCATGGGTAACACAAAGAGCACCGTCACCAAAGCCATCATTTCGGCCCTGGAGCTAGGATTGGGTTTTAAGGCAACGCGTGACTTGGCTTGAGCCTGAAATCTCTCGGAGCCAGTGGGGCGGCGTTTTTGGATCGACCTGCTCGGGTGCCGAAACCACTGAGCATCCCAGCCGTCCTCTTCGGTTTAGATTTTAGGGTTTTCTTTTTAGGGTTTAGGGACCTGCTGTCGACTTGCGATCGACCGAAGTCCCAGCAGACAGCATCCGTGCGCCTGATGACATGCCGTTGATGGTCTTGTGCCACGGTCAGCCTGCATTTCCAGCTTGCCGATACTCATGCTTCAAAGGAGGGAATTGCCTAGACGTCTGGTAGATCTTCAGTCTACGAAAGCTGTGCAAAATCTGGGGAAAAATAGACTCACAGCGCCGCCTTTGGCAGCGTTTCGCCGCTTGACCACAGGCCTGAGGGCCCGGAAGGCGCATATCAACCGCCTCGGTTGGGCAGCATCGCTGATACTCTGCCATGGAAGGCACAGGCTACTATGACAGCATGGCTTAAAGTGTAGAATCTAATCTAAGGCGCCGCAACGAGCCTGCACAACTTATGTAAGGCCCTCGCGAGCTGCTGTGCGCGTGGAACCTCTCTGATCACGGTCGTGTTCACTCGCTCCGCTCCTGAAGGGAGTCGAGCCGAAGGAACCGTAAGGTTTTTCTGGAACCCTCGAAGAACAGCGACTACAGTGACTGCAGTCGACAAAGATTGTAATATGCATTCTCTTGTTCCCCAGATAGTGTGTCAACACTTTCGGGGGAATGCAATATGATATAACTTGAAACCCTTCGCACAGCTATCACTTCGGACACGAAGCCACGTGCACCCCTGCGAAAGCCTCGCAGTAGTTGTGCCAAACTGCCAGGCAGTGCCGTGACTTGCCAGACTGTGCTGTGCTGGCAGGAAGGATGCCCAGGCCTGAGTAAGGACGAATTACACAAAAATGGTGCACCATAATGGTATAATGGGATACGACTTTAGTATACATATAATAGACCAATATAATAGTCCACTACTATAGTATGATGTTATTCTGAGAAAAATAACACACTGTTATAGCATACTATAACAGTCTACGATTACATGCCTCTGGCTTCACCAGTCTAAGCCCATGCCAGGGCACGTGATAGTATACAACTAAACTATAGTATACAATTGCCGTATACCATTATCGTATACTGTTAAAGTATACTACTATAGTATACATGAATAAGCCTGACATGCAAGTGCACAAGGAACTCCGAGGATGGCACGGAAGGCATTGACTTCTTCTTGAAAGCCTGTCAACACAAGTCAACACATCACATGTCGCGACAGACACTGCCTAGGCTAACTCAGAAAGGCTCGCAGGCTTGTGACATGCCTCAGAATGCCTCAGACAGACATCAAAACAAGGAAAGCAATGCATGTATCGAACATGAATTTCTATGATCGCTGGAGAGTAGCTAGTTCCTGAAGAAAAGCCACACAGTCCCCACTCAGCCTGTGCACGACAAGCTGCCTTTCTGGATGTGTGTCGACTGCTCCTTTCCCTCATGTGACATGTCCTCTAGGATGTCGCAGGTTTCTCAAAATCTTAGTCAAGAACCTATTAAGCCTTGATGCTAAGATGCATACGCCGAAATAGCAAGCTCTTGTGACAACAGCTTCGGCAAGTTTGAATGCAGTGTTGCCGAGGTTAGAGCGATTCTTCTGCCATGTCAACGGCTTGAGTACGGAACAGCTCGAGCAGCTCCACGGCACAGCAGAGCTAGTGGTACATATCTGTTTGTATGTATGTATATGTATGTATGTATGGAACATGTTGAGCTATGCACGCTGGGACACATGCAGTGGCAAGGAAGACAAACACCACAGCAGCTTTTTGCATTAACTTCCAAGCGCGCTCTCGCCATTAGCGAGGAGGCCTGGCTCCAAAGATAAGACAATAATATAAGGGCCTTATTAACAATTAGAATAAAGCTCCTTGAACAGGCTCCTTTAAAGGGGTCTCTCCGGGATCTAGGGTTCTAAAATATAGGGGCCTTAATAATTAGAATCGAGTTTTGGGGCCATTGTAGTCTAATATAATAATTGAAATAAGTAGTGCAGGTAGTTATTCAGACCCCTATATTAGGCTGCCGCTTAAGCTTTAAGGTTGCGGGTCTCAGGTTTACGGTGCAGGCACAAAGTTTCGAGTGTAGGGCTTACGGCCTGGGGTTTCGGTTGAGAACTTCCGTCGCCAACATTTGCTATCTCCTGGAATGACGGGCTGCCGCATCAATCCGGCGGTTCGCAGCTTGTAGGGGTTTGGGGTTCTGACTACCGCACAAGCGCCATCAGAGGCTCATCTTGTCAGCCTTTTGGAGACCTGACGGACAAATGCAGGACACAGGAGTATACGTGCATTCCGGGTATTTAAGTTGTTTAAGCGGACTTCTTACTTGTAGGTCTAGTGCTGGGTGTCTTGGTTCCTGGGTGCTACTTTTATCTGCAGTTTCCTTTTTGTTTTCATTTCATTCACGCCTCTACTTCGCGAAGTTAGCTAGCCAAGCAGCTGGGTAGCTGGGTAAGTACGAGTAGGAAGGAAGCTAGGTAGGCAAAACATTGGACTTGCATTTTGTTCCGGTATGCCTGCTACACAGATCCCAAAGGCCTGCAGACTCACAGTCGGCAGTCGCCACGGTCGCCGGCGGCGCAGCGGAACTTCCTGGTGTGGGGGTTGGATTTTTGGGTCAAAATCTCGGAAGCGAGCCCCCTGTGTGGGTACACAATGCAACGAGCAGGGTTGAGACCCCCCTTTGTCTCTGCAACATTTGCTTCAGAATTCGTGTGTTTCGATGTTCACCAGGCCCCAGGGTAAACTGTGAGACAAACCTATCAAGAAACCGAAACCAAAAGTGGCTTCGAGTTGATGTAGGGCGTAGGGTCTGGGGCCCATCGGGTTTACAGGATTTCCCCGCGATTTGGGGCCAGGCTTGAAGCAATCTGTTTAGGTCTAATGACTCAAAGATTATCTGAATAATCAAGAACGCCGGGCCGGATCAGGAAGAGATCCACTAAGCCTAAGCCTGTCGGGCCTTGCTGATCGTCTCCTGGCTTGTCGCAATTCTCCTCTCAACGGGGATGTTTAGTTACAGGAAGGTCTGCTACAGGCTGCCGGTTCTGAGAATGCCCTCGTGCAAGTGGCAACTGTTGCACGGCATCAAACACCGACGGATTGGAGGGGTAAGTTCTAAGATTCTAAGCCCTACACTGAGTCCTCCGTAGATATGTAAAACCATACATATACATATACATATACATATACATGTACATATACATATACATATACACATACATATACATATACATATCCATATACATATCCATATCCATATCCATATCCATATCCATATCCGTATCCATATCCATATCCAGCTACATCTACATCTACATCTACAAATACAAACACAAATACATATACATATACATATACATACATACATACATATATATATATATATATATATATATATATATGTGGAGGGGTCCTTTGTGTATAATGTGACCCGTGGGTTTGTGTGATGTTTGTAAAACCTAAACTTGAGGCATGTGCAAGCTCGTTATCCGCAACCTCGTTTGAGGTTGCATCCGGACCTGGTCTACAAGCTGTTGACCAGTTGACCGACTGAATCTGCGTCCCATAGTACTCAATCAGAAAACACTTACCTTTGGTTAGTAGGGAATGAAGGAATGGGTACTATTATACTATATATTACTATCATTCCTTCATTCCCTACTAACCAAAGGTAAGACAAAGGGGGATGATGGATCGAGGCATAGGGCTCTTCCATGCCCCACAGAACGATAAGCACTCGCCCTGGCCTCTCGCAGGCTTGAGGGATGTTTGCTTCGCTACACCTTGGCGATACCTTCGCAAAAGTAAATTTGTATATAGGAAGGCCATGGCCCAATCTGCAAACATCAAAGATCTGCGCACGCACAAGACACACATCACAGCACGTCCAAACCAGCCGCAGACGCTCTATTTCAGAAGCACCCGCGAGAGACACACATCAGTGGCATCTTGTGACAGCACATCCACACCATTCCCCCATGTAGACGCTCGAACACATTCTATCATAGCAGTCATAACACTTCCAAACCAGCCATTCCCCATGTGGACGCTCGAGCAGACCCTGTCTCATGGCCCGAGAACCAGTCGGGCATTCCATAATACAGCGTATCTACTACATGGTATCGACGTGAGAACTACATACCCAGATGTAACAGCGAGGACAGACGGGCAACGGAGGAAACAACAGATTGTGATTCTGATTGCAAATAGCGCCGCGAATCACTGCATTGTGAAGCACAGGAAACGGCATTGGTCGCAATTGGAAGCCGACTACAGCGGCGTCACGTTGACGTGCACAGGCCCAGACAAACAATCTTGACAGTGGCGGCGCAGCCTCCGTTTCGTGATTTCGGATCCTGGCTGTAGCAACTCTGGCACCGCTGAGTTCCACAGTAAAAGTGCTTTGAGTCCAGCGCAAACGGCACGAGGCCACGGGTCAAATAATGCATAAAGGGTTCTCTTACATATATACATATATATATATACATACATACATATCTATACATATCATAGAATATCATATGTGGTATCACATTCAAGCTGGTCCTCTGGTTCTTTCGTGAGCAGCCGGGGCCCAAAGCTTTGGATGAGGATAGCGCCGAGTGGTGCCGTAAGAAGGATGGCAAGGACCTGTGTCAGTGCAGCAAGCAGCAGCAACATTAAGGTTTAGCGTTTAGGGGTTAAGGGTTTAATGCTTGGGGTAACAGCAGCCAGTTGCAGCAGGCGACGACATTAGGTCACTAGGTCGCCAAACAAAAGAAACTGCAGTGGACCGGCCAGTAGCACCATGGGTGTCCTTTCTCCAGCTACTCTATTCGGTTCTCATGAGACAACCTGCACCAAACAAAAGGTAT